GGAAGGAACCTCGACATCCTGCATGGCTATTGAAATTCCAGCGGCTCCTTCCAATGCATGGATTCAGTAGGACGTATCCTTGACCCTGACCCGCTTCCCCTCGTCGTCGCGACATCTGCAGGGTCCAGCTGTCTGCGGTAACCTTGCGGACAAAGTGTCTTTCGACACGCGTCATTCCCTCCGGCGGCGGCGGCGGCGCGTGGCGGCGGCACGGCGCCGGTAACCGTGCACACCTCACGCCCCGGGCGTGCCGCACGAAGTGAAAGGCCGGCGCGGCGCTGTGGCCACCGCCGAGATAGCCCTGTCGTAACCAGTGATGCAAAGTTCAGATACACGAAGTGGCCGCTGCGTGCTGGGTATGATCTCGGCGTATCAGCCTCCGCGGGGGCGCAATGCTACCCGGCTCTGTGCTCTACGCCAGTGTGCCGCGCTGATTCGGTACCTAACTCGAAACTTGACGCGCCCATATCCTAATTAACATTTACCTTCAGTGGCATGTAGCTGATGTAAGTTTTAACTGGATCTGACGGTCTTCGGAAATTGACAAAAAAAAAAAGATATAATTTCAGCTCGTTATTTGCCCCAACCAGCAAATGGATCTCGTTCAAATAGGTACGTCAATTATTGGTCTATGTCATGACAACCGTAATCGCCTTACAGACCACATAATTGACTACGCTGACCGGGGTGGGCTGAGTCCAGGCTGAGTCCACATATCGACACAGTCTTCGTGGAGCGTTAGTGTGCACGCAATAAACGGCATTTAACCCCTGCCGGACATTACCTCGGTCGAGGTGACCGATCTTGATGGAACCCTCCTCGCCATTTTGTTTCGCCTCTTAATTAGGCTATAGTCTCGCTGAAACAGGTCGTGTGCACCGCTGCAGAACACAGCGACTAGAACCCGCGGGTCAACCGGTGACCTCTGAGGTCAGGTGAAGTGCTCGACGGCACGGGTTCGCCGTTCAGGTGGTTGTGAAACAACATCGCCACAAATAGTTGCCGAGATGCGATTTTGGCACCATCTTGTTTGCCATGGTCAGGCGCGTCTAATGATTCACTTTTTGTAAGGGAAAAGTCAACTAAGGGCGTTGACTTCAAGTCAAGCTCGGGTCACAGCCCCTCAATGAAATTTCTTTCAGGTCTTTTTCACGTCATCCCATTGGGAGGTCGTCCGGATTCCATTGATTGTCTTCGAGACTCGCCAGCTCAATTGACGGGGGGAGCATTGATGAAAAGCTCAGATGACCTTAGAGACGTCATATACAGGGTGGCGCCGATAAATGAAGACAATATGTGCTCCACACAAAACATTATTTTTTTGGCAGAAGTCAGTACTTTGGATGAAAGCTTGGAAGTAGGGTGACTGATTGCGACCTGTCGAGCACACTTCACTCGATGAATCCCCTCCGCGTCGATGACGGTCTCGATGCGCTGCCTGAACCGGGCGAAGGCCTTGGTCAGCATGGTCTTGTCCATCTTGACCATCATCTGCTTGATGGCTGACTTCAGAGAGTCAATATTGTTGTGTGGGTGTTTGTTAGTGTCCCTCTCGACTACGCCCCACACGTAATAGTCGAGCGGGTACAGGTCCGGGGAGTTTGGCGGCCAGAACTCGGGCGTGATGTGGCTGTGCAGGTTGGCGCTCATCCACTCCTGCGTCACCCTGGCCTTGTGGGCGGGTGCAGAGTCCCGCTGGAACACATAGGGCCTTCCTCAGCCACTCGGTCGATCCAGGGCTTCACGACGTCACCGTCATCGATGGTGACGTCGACGACGGGTCATCGTCGACGATGTTCTCGACTTTGGCAATGAAATCGTCGTCTCTGACGGCATCAGATCGTCGGGGATGTTTCTTCCGCTTTGCCACAGACGGGACGTTGCCCCCAGACTCATCCAAGCTCCGCTCGACTTTATAATCAAGGCTTCTGTCGACCTTGAGGAAGTCGGCGATCTCGGGTGCCTCGCTGCCGGCGTGAAGCGCCACAATGACCGCGTGCCTTTTCAGATCTTCCGCAATCATCTTCAGCTGCAACGCTCCCTTTTGCTATGGACAACAGTTAGCATAAAGCTTGGAACATGGATGCAAAAAATTATCGCTCTGCATAAAATAGTTTCCTCGTAACACAGGTTTGACATTTGTGGTTATTTACCGGCGCCACCCTGTATGACGTGATGCAATGCAAGGTCAACAATGTAAAAGTGAAGCATCAGCCCTTATAGTTCAGGCCGCTAAAACTGACAACCTCTGAAAGGGGGTGCTCTTTGGGGCAATGTCATGGACTACACCATTTTCGAACCAAGTTAAGACAAATGAAGCCCAATTTAAAACTGTTGATTTTTGAATTAAAACAATCGAAAAGTGTGTTAAAACACGTGACATTCAGCTTAAAACGACCAACACGTGATTTCGCGTGTCAGTTGTTTTAAGCTGAATGTCACGTGTTTTAACCCACTTTTCGATTGTTTTAATTCAGAAATCAACAGTTTTAAATTGGGCTTCATTTGTCTTAACTTGGTTCGAAAATGGTGTATATGCCGCATCCTCGGGCAACAGTCACTATATGCAGCGGGAAGGGTCACTGGTTATATGGCCTTGGGGTCACTGGAGCCGGGGGCATGCGTCCCTCTTGGGGCGGACTCCGTCCGTCCGTCCGGTAGGCCCGACCCCGCAGCGTGCGGCGGACTCGAGCAGCCGACGCGGTGCTCCCCGCACGGTCACGCGGTGCTCTCGTCACCGGCGCCTCAGAGCACGGAGCACACTGCGGTCCAGCCATTACCGATAGCGAAAGGTCAGTCAAGGCTACGCCTCACGACGGGGGCGGAGTGGGGGGGAGGGGGGAGGCGCGGCTGGGCCGGGGCGCCGATCCGTGGGAGGGATGGGCTGGGGCTTGGCTAATGATGAAAACGATTAAAAACGGAGACCGAACGGTAGAGCATTCTCGCATGCAGAGGAATAAAACACAATACATACACCAGGGAATGTTATGGGCAACTGACCAGCCTGAAGTTCATGTCGGCCGTCCTGAGTGAGTGGTATGAGGTGGAGAGCCGCGTCCTGATCCAGTGGTGTGAGGTGGAGGGCCACTCGGTCGGAGGAGCCCGAAGAGGACGCCCGTCCCACGGGCTCGGCCTTTTCCTATACCACCGCTGCAGATGACCGCCCGTCTGAAAAATTACAGTCAAGTTCAAGTATGTAAAACAGGTAATGGAGCTCATACGGTGGTAAGACTAAAGCATTTGTAAATGTTACAATCAGATACACTGATGATAGATTTAGCCCTCGCCCGTATTGGCGTTTTAGCACGGACTAGCGCCTACCTAATGGGAGGGTCGACACTCGACCGAACCCCTCCCCGCACACATTGACTCAGAGCTTCACGAATAAAACGAGCGTGTTACCCGTGGCGAGAGGAAGACGATAGTAATTAATTTTAACGTCCTGGGTCTTTCATTGACCCCGGGTCAGGCCAGTGACCCAAAGCCCAAGAAAATGGAGGTCTGCTGGAAGTTCTTGAAGGGAGGCTGATCCCTTCAAAGATAAGTTTGGGTTTCGCTTACGAATTTAGCATTTGTTTTCTTCTAGAATGAAATTTGTGCGTAACGGATACGCTCAAATCACATCAACCATCAGGCATCTCGCCGGCTATCCATAGTTGGAGATCTGTTATCAGCTCCAAAACTATCCTAACCATGCAAAAACGAAGCCATCGACGGTCTATAACCCTGCGCTGACCTTAGACGGCAGTCATTTTATAGATATGAAAGAGGTGTAAGTTTGCACAAAAAAACACGCAACGACTAGCTTCCTGTAGGTTCCTGTTACCTTATTGCAACGCCAGTGTTTCAGCCCCCCCCCCCCCCCCAAGTGCACCCTACTAACCGTTTAGTCGTCCGGCCGGTGTGGAGCCGTGCCGAGCTGTTTGACCCGCCGCAGCACAGTGACCGGCGCGGCGCCCGTCTCACCACTGACACCGCCCGCCGACCGTGAGTAGAGCGTAGAGCGTCACCGTCGGTCAGTCGACTCGGCGAGCGAGTCACGACCAGACAAGGTCACGCCGCCGGCGGCGACCGGCGACCGGCCGGAGCCGGGTGCCGACGGCTGGAGCCGGGCGCCGGCGGCTGGAGCGGGGAGGAAGGCGATCCCTGGGAGACGAGCCATCTCCTCCCTCTTTTTCTCTCGCTCATCCCTTACCCTCGCTCCCCTCTTACTCTCGCTCTCCGTTTCTCATCCTCGCTCTCATACTCTCGCTCTCTTCTTCACTCGCTCTCGCTCATCGCTTACTCACGCTCTCTGTCTTTCACTCTAGCTCTCCTTCCCTCACTATTATTCTCTTACTCCTGCTCTTCATCTCTAACTCCATCTCTCTCACTCTCGTTCTCCGTTTCTCATTCTCCTCTCTCCCGCTCTCAGTCTCTCACTCCACCTCTTACTCTCGCTCATTCTTCTTACTCTCTCTCCTCTTCTATAGTTCAAAGACCATCAGTGGCTGCGATCACGGTTGAAACTTGCCTGGAAATTGATGTAAATTCAGGTTAGGCTTCACGCTGTCCAAGGACGTGGTATTGGTATAACATACTACACCTCGCCATGTAATTTCTGAGTGTGGTGTTGGAACCTTGAATCCGGCACACGAAAACTTCATTGAAACATCTGCATAATTTCATTCATGTCTCTCATAACCAAGAGCTGTAGCAAAAAGATCTCTGGGGGGCGACAAGTCCAAATAGCGTCGTTAGTTTTATTTTTATCTTACGCCTCCATATTGCTCATCCCGGATATTTTCACCATCCCTTGCGGGCCGCCATTTCGGCGTTTTGCCTCTGGCGGTAGCAGCCGTCCAAGGCGCCAGGCGGCAGCCACGGTGAGCCGAGCTAAGGAGGAACAATTTCTGACCAGTGGTGACCGGTACGCAGCTGCTGCAAAAACCGGCCGACCTAGTGCCCATTGGTGTCAGTCAACACCTCTCCGAAACGACCAGTCAAATAGTAACGCTAAGCTCAGCTCACTGTGTATTCGATAGTGGAGCACCGTCCGAGATGTTCGGGGTACAGCACGCAGTCAGTCAGCAGCTCTATAGACGCGAGCAGAGGAGTCGAGCCGCCCGGCCCGGCGCGCAGAACGTAACAAACAACGGCAGTGACAATAAAAACACCCCGAACACCACAGCGTCCGCCTCCACACAGCACAAACCTGAGTAGCGGCGGGATGGGGCCACCTTTCAGACCCACAGACCAACACATCGAGACAGCGTGTCGCCACTACATTCACACAGAAGAAAAACAATGTAGGGAAAGAACGATTTCGGAAACACACCTTAACTGATAGCAGAGGTGCAATCACGAAACATACATGAGATGAGATGGCAGCTGTGCCACGAGGACGTAAGACGGTCTGCCTGGTGGATATGAAGCCCCTCTTCTGTACAATACCCTATATAACCAAAATACGAAGACTAAGGTCGGGCAAGACAGCCTGCAAGACAGTGTGTTACTCCATCGGGGCAGATACGTAGTTGCCGAAACGGAGTGGCACAGGAGTCTTGACTGATGGCGCGGCACCGCACGACCGAGTTTAGCGGCGTCCATACACACTGTCACGAGGTCCAGCGGCCACCCTATCCCAACCTGGCGAGCTCGTCCACAACCGACTGCCAGGCACCGCCACACACACCTCACAGACTCGGCAAAAGGATACCACCACACCTCGCACTCTTCAGACGAGGAGGGCGGGTGCCGACTTTTTGCCCGGCCACATCTCCTTGGCGTACTTCTTCTTGCGTGGCTCGTGGGCGGCGGGGTTATCGACGGGTCCGACCAGCGCGGCGGCGCCGGCCGGTACCGCCGGCACCTGCGGGGGCGCGCGGAAACAGCGTCAGTTCTCACGGACAGTCGGTCAGAAATCGCATAAGGCAATCGACAGTCGATCGGAAACCGCGTCAGTCACCCGCCATTGATGAGACAAGGGCCCTGGACACTGACAACACATGCACTGAGCCCCCCTCGAGACCCCGTGCTTATGATGGAATAGCCATAGAATAAAACTGCTCATGAGCCTCCCTCTAGACCCCATGATTACGATATAGCAACAAAATAAAAGTTCATTATCACAATAAAAAATACTTAGAAAACCCTTTTGTACTTGATAGTAACACGACGCTCGTGCTAATCAATAATTCACAAATGGAAGAACAAAGAATCAGCAAACCGACCCTCCTGGTCCTGCAGATACTGTACGCGAAGGTGTACAAAAATTAACATTTAAAATTCTGAGACAGCGTCACCGAACCGACCAGCCCCGACGGTCGGTCGGTGGGACCCACCTCTGGCTCCGGAACGCGCTCCTCCACCTCCGGCGCCGGGTTGACGCCGATGCCCAGTTTGCTGGTCAGGCTGAAGGCGAACGTGCTGTGTCCGGCGGCCGGCGGCGAGGCGGCGCCGTCGGCCGGCGGCAGGTCTCCGTACAGAGAGCCGGCACCGGTGTCCGAGAGCCGCCGCTGGTGGCGCGCTGGCGCCGGAGCCGACGCCGAGGAGGCCGGCTCCACGCGCGCCCTCTGCAACCGCCGACGATAGCTCATCGGTAAAAGCCAAAACAAAACAACATAGTGTACGCACTCCGTCCAGCAATGCTGGGTGCGGATATTAAATCTGTCCTTAAGTCCTACCTGGACATCCGCACAAACTTCACAGCATGGCGGCGGCCACTCTCACCTTCATCGGTATGACGGTGGTGGAGACCAGGTTGCGGAAGCGGCCCACCGACGGGTCCACGTCCTCCGGGTTGATGACCTCCTCCTCCTCGTTGAAGGTGACGCTGCGCTTCTGGCTGCGCCGCCTGCCCACCGGCTTGAAGTCGTCCTCGGCAATACCCAGCATCGTCACTCGCCGGTTGTGGGCCGTGTTGAACTCGGTCAGGTTCTGCGGCGTCAGCGCATCCAATGTCAGACTCCGTGGGCGACAGGCACACACGAACCATCTGCTAGTGCTAGCCGGATATATCATTTGTAAACTGCAAATGAATGTCACAGCTGTAAGCTGCCAAGTACCAACACTACACATCACACTTAGATTTCTCATTCACCTCCCCCGTAAAGTTAAACTTTGCCCGAATGTTTTAAACAAGCCCGGTTGTGCCTGTCTCGCACACTCTAACCCGTCCCATGTATCCCATCTCCACATTCCGCCCTGTCCATCCCTGCCAGAAGCACTCACCGTCTGTCCAGCCCAGTCCCGCTTACCCCGTGTCTATGATTTGTTTCGTCCGTTCCACCATCCGGTCCCGTATGTCCCTTCAGTCCCTTTTGTCCCTTCTATTCCCACCCCGTCCTTCCGGTCCCCTGTGTCCCTCCCGTTCTTTCCAGACGGTCTTATGTGTCTCCATTCCCGTGTATCCCTTCGGTCCCGTCTACCATGTCCGGTCTTGTTCGTCCCTGCCGTCCCTTCTAGTCCCGCTCGCCTCCCGTCCCGTCCGTTCCTAATGTCCCGTCCCGCTCCGTCCCTGTCCGTCCCGCGCCACTAACATCGAGCTCTGTCTCCGTCTCGGGCAGTCCGAGCAGCTCTCCGTGCGTCTCCTCGCCGGCCAGCTCCAGCTCCTCCATGACCGGCTTGCTGGCCTGCTGCGGACGCTCGCGCAGCATGTACACGCGCGTCGAGGCGCCAAAGTGGAACGCCGAGTCGATCGGCAGCTGGGTCGGCTTGTTGGCGTCAATTCGCATCGAGCCGATGAACGTACCATGTGCTGCGAACGAAAACAAGGTGAGCTTTGCTATCATTCCAAAACCAGAGCTGATATAGACACAAAGTAAAAGAACTGTCGTTGATCTGTACCTCAAACTGGCTATCAAAAGTTGGCTCCCTATTATTAATTATTTCAACACATCTAACCAAAAGCATTTATCTTTGCAGAACATATATTATGTACATAAAACACATTGCTTGATAATAGGAATAGTCATTACTCACTGCTGCCAAGATCAACCAAAAAGGCTCGATCAAGGTGTTTGTGCCACACCAGGGCAGCATGAACTCGAGAGCAGCTGGCATGATCTATGCAGAAGTCATTTAGCTGAGGATTTCGTCCAAACAGGTAACAGCGCTTTTCATCCACCATCAGCTTCTGAGTAAGTTTCTCTCCTTTGAGCACATCCAGATGAAGGCCAACAGGAGCCTTCCCTGCCCTGAAAAAGAGAACAGGAACCAATGTCACTGGAAGCAAAACTGATGAATGATAATTGCAATGGCCCCTGCTTTAGTAAATGCCAATCCAACTTTCCTATACAACTCTTCTCTGCTGAGGTACCTAGTTGAAAGCAAATCTATATTTATTTTATTTTCTATCCTTTCCTACCCTCTCCTAGCTTTTGCCTCCCCTTCCATTGCTAATTTATTCCATTATTTGTTCTGCATGAAAAAATACAGCGAATACAGCAATCAGCATACAGAATACATGCCACACAACAGGGTTAATTTGTTTTGGCAGCTAAGAAATCCTTAAGAATGAGTGTGAACTTGCTTCCTTTAATCAATTCTCAATGTAAAAGCCTAGTTAATTTCACATTAAATGATGCAAAATAACCTTTGAAACTCAGGGCACTAAAAATAGCAAGTCCTTGAAATATTAACATAAACAGCATGAACAGCATGGTTTACAGTTATGAGTTAGGCACACTTCATTGACGGATAAATTTCCCAAAAACCAAAGCAAGTAAATTTCATGCATTTATGCAGCTATTCAAGAACAGCAAATCATCCAAATGAATTTTGCAATGCCTACTCAAAAGATTACAAACTGTGCAAGGGGATATATTGGGCAAGTAGGTGGGTAGGTAACAAGTCTTATACGAGGCAGGGGAAAAACATGAGGAACATGTACACCTAAAACAAAAATGTTAAGTGTATGACAAGCTTACTGAAGCTAGTATCAAGGGATTAATTAAAACAAAACATTTGAAAAATGCCAAAATAATAAAACAAGACACACTGAAAATGGGAAGGTAGGCATAGGTATCAAATGAAACCATTCATTTCATAAAGGAACAAAGCATTGCAAAAATGCATTACCAGCCAGGAACATTGTAGTGGCTTGTCATTTCGCACTCGACGACTCCTTAAATTTTATCAGTTTTCACTCATTTGGCCGTTTATTTCTTGATAAATCCTCCTAAATCCACTGTCCACACAGCATTCAGCATTCCCTCTCCGGCAATATTTGCGTCTGTGTGCGCCGTAAATGACATTTTTAAGGGTCCCTGTTCTACTTTGCGTTTACAATGTTTGCTGGTACCAAACTGTTACTATGTTTCCATGGTAACCTGGCTTCCAAATTAAAATATTCCCGAGTGATTTTCTATTTTCAGAATATACTGGCTACAAAATTACCTTTAGATGAAAAATAGGACATAGACACTAAGTTATTGTAAAATATTAATTTTTAAAGTAAAACATCGCTGAGTACTCTGCTGATGTCATAACAATTCTGCTATTTTTCGGCAATAAAGAACAGCACTTCCAATATGCAGCATTGTTTGCACGTGCACGTGCAGGTAGCAGCGGTAGCAGAGCAACTATCAGTGGTTGGTGGTTTTATTGGTTTTATTTGCCCTATTGTTGTGGATTTCCTTTTTTTAAGTTCTCTACATACCATGCTTTATATGTGTATCGCTTATACCGTACTGTATAATGCTTGGAGGAGATTGAGATGTGAGAGTTTAAGGTTCACTTGACGAGGGCCCTGGATTTGTATGCACAAGTTCCGATTCTTTCAGCTATAAGCTCTGTCTTGGTGATTATTTTAATACCAACCAATGTAACAATTTTTCGATCTGGGTTCGATTCCCCGGCAATGCACATGGCATTGCCACTACCTGACCGCTTGAAACAGAGTGAGAGTTCCGGGTGGCGCCTTGGTGCACTGGATGTGGTGCTTAACCCAAACCAACCAACCAACAATTTTTCCCTGACTTGATGCTTCATGTCCCCCAATGTCATGACCTAATTGTCACATTGTTTTTTACTTTGATATTTTGGTGGTCTTGACCTTACCCTATGATATTTTTTCAGAGAGTTTCTTGTCACTGGCTATGCAGGCACCATGAGCAGATGATTTTATCTTATTGCTGTTCAAAGCAAATCATTTAGCAATATAATTTAAACAATTTTGAGCCAGACTTATTGTGAATTCTCATATTGTGTACATTCATCTGTTTATGCCATGGATCTTGTGAGAACAATAGAATCAGATGATGAAGTGGACAATCTCTCAGTCTCTAGCTCAGATGAGGATAAGGTGAGTTTAACACTGATTCAGGGACACCAACACATGAGAGTAATAGTACAGCCCTGCTAAACCTCATACCTAATTTGCCTGCTACAGCAAGGTTCTTGGAATATTGCTAGCTTTGGTAAGCAATATAATTTTAAAGGGGCATTCATAGATGCAAATAGAATGTGTAGCATGCTGGATTGGAGGGGCTCCCACCCCTAGAATGTGGCTTGTCAGATAAACTCCCTTTCCCTTCTCTGCCTATCCCTCTCCCTTCTTAACTTCCTCTCCTTTTCTCTTCCCCTCTTCCTTATTCTCTATCATCTCTTTTTTCTATCTTCCTATCCCTTTTTCCATCTCCTCTCTTTCACTCCCTCACTGTCTACCTTCTCCCTCTTTCCTCTTCTCTCTCCTCCCTTCTTTCACCTCTATATTCTCTCCTCTATACTCTCTCCTCTATACTCTCTCACTCTCCACCCACTCACTCTCCATCTGTGTCCTAGTCTTTTTTCCTTTGTATTATCTGTTGCCATTTCAGCTTATACCCTCTCCATTTTAGGAAAGAAGCAAAAGACACTACTTCTCAGATGATTTTGACTTTGGAGAAACATTTGAAGAATACCATGTCGATCCCTGGGAAGATGTAAACAAATATCTGAAGAAGAAGAAGCTATCCTGCACAGATCAGAAGATTGCTCAAGTCCGCGATGAGCACAAAGGAGAGGTGAGCATTAGGGACATTTTGATTCCAACTGTTATTATTAGTTTTTATGACCCAAAATAATAACACTGATTAATTAGTTGTGTTTTTTTAAGAAGATGGGTTTTTGATTTGCCGAGGTCTAGAGTAATGCATGTAAACATCACAACTCACAAGAATACAATATTTGTTGCATTGTTTGGATGATTGCGGTTGTTGTTTTTCCGAGTCACCCTCCCACCCAGTAACCTCGGTCTCTAATCTCTTATGACACGAGCCGAGAGTCGGTTTGCGGGAATCCGTTTCTGTTCGCGACAGTCGTATTGTTCGGCCATCGGGTTGTTCACGTATTCAATTACGATCTGTAGTGATCTATGACCTTTGAGGTATGAGAAGCCGGAGCTGGAACCGACGCATTTTGTCTGGAGCCGGAACCGTTTCGACATTGTGCCGGAAGTCGGAGTTTTCAAACGGTGCCGGTTCCCGTCGGTGCCGTCGCTCTTTGTGATAGTTCCGCATGCAAGTTTCATCGTAGTATCATCCCATTACACGTATTGTTTGACGTCTAAATTCTTCAGTGCACTTTGAAGAAGCAACTACTGGTCGTTAATGATGTGCACACAACCTTTCTTGGTAGAAAGATCCGTTTGGAAAACAAAGTTGCGTGACTCGGCACAGATCCTAAGATATATAAGATAGACAAGGATAAGATAGACAAAATTTTGGTAACACGTTTGTATCCGACGACGGTATTTGCAGCAAGATATTTACTTTACTTACATATCACACTCACCTCTTTTATTCTGATCGTACATCCCTTACCTGTGGATTATGCGCTGATGTTTTCTCTCAGGCGTCAGAGAACGGCGAGGGGCCATCGGAGGTCGAGCCAGAAGACATGGAGGAGGACAGCGCCAGTGACGACGAGGGGGCCGAGGACGACCAAATGGAGCAGCTCGGAGGTAGGTTGGATCGACAAAGTGGGCAGTCTCTGGTTAAATTAGGTATATTATCTGATTTCGTACATTATATACAATATATATCATGTATTATATTCGTATATTATATATTTATGGCTATAAAAAATTATTAAAACACAATATTACGAGTTTCGGCCGTTCGTACTGCAGGCAAAAAATTTGCTTTGCGTATCATCGATGCATGATGCACAGCTCGTTTTTTTCTGTAATTCCTTGGTTGGCCTAACACATTTAATTTTGACTGGAATGCAAACTCAGTCCGCCTGCTGCGTGTCCGACAGCGGACAACATCCATGTCAAGGAGGCCGAGCGCCGACGGAAGGAGAAGAAGCTGGGCCGCCGGCGCGCGCAGCTGGAGGAGGAGGCCGCCGAGGCCGCCGCCTTCTTCAGCGAGGCCACCGGCGACGCCATCGGCGCCGTCAAGACGTTCCACGAGATGAACCTGTCGCGGCCGCTGCTCAAGGTGGGTGGAGCGGACAGACCGCCGGTGCCGCGCTGGTAGACTGTTCGAGCTGCGTCCACAGTCTGTGCTGATATAATCGGCTGCTTACGGAAGCGTTAGTCCGTTTGCTGCCAACTCTGCTGGGTATCAACCCATCGTTGTCGTTTTTTTTTCAATATCGAACCCTACAAACTACAGTTTGTATTGACCCTTTTTTATGTGTGAAAAATAAGTGGAAAACTAGATGATATCATGCTTGTTTATTGCGGCGTTGGTTCACGTGCTGTAGGTGCGACAAACTTTCTCAGTTCTTTATCAATCCCCCTGTAAAGTAAAATACGTCGAAGTGGAATCGTTCGCGGCATCATGGCCAGTCTCCGCTCGGACCCACGAGTACCCACCCTGCCCTGTAACTAACGCCCCCCCCCCCCTGTCTCACAGGCGGTGACCGCCATGGAGTACGTCCACCCGACGCCCATCCAGTCGGCCACGGTACCGGTGGCGCTGCTCGGCCGGGACATCTGTGGCTGCGCCGCCACGGGCACCGGCAAAACGGCCGCCTTCATGCTGCCCATCCTGGAGCGGCTCGTGTTCCGGCCCAAACAGGTTAGATGGGACGCATGCCTGAGTGTGTCAGTGACGTGGACTACAAACCAGATGCGAGTTCTCCGAGATGAAGATATTGAAAACGTCCTCAGGATATGTATGTCTCGCCTGTTGAAATTATATCGTTACTTTTGTTCTCCGTAAGGACTGCACGTTGGCGCTAATGACCTGACGCGTCTTCTGCTCCCACCCTCCTCAGATTCCTGTGACGCGTGTGCTGGTCCTGGTACCGACCCGCGAGCTCGGAGTACAGGTGTACCAGGTCACGCGGCAGCTCTGCCAGTTTTTACCCGACCTGCAGGTGGCGCTGGCCGCCGGCGGTATGGACATCAAAGTGCAGGTCAGTGCTCCTGGTACTACAAACGAGTCATTGTCAGAGAAATGTCAGAAGTGTTTTAAGTTTACTTTTCCGATGTGTCCGTAAGCATTCTGGTCATGCAGAGGTGCTTGTGTCGTCGGGAAACAATTATTTTTCTTGATGCAGCTCGTAGCAGACTAGCCCTTATTTTTGTTCACATACGGGTGACAAAAACTCGATACAGCAGAAAGGCTTTACAAAATACATCATTGACTGAGAAATGTCACGAACATAAATGCGGCTCCTGCTCAACAAAGCAAATTTGTATCAGCGACGCGACCATGGACACTGTGTGACGCTGTGTGTCTCTGTGTGATTCCAGGAGGCCCAGCTGCGCCAGCACCCGGACATCGTGATCGCCACGCCCGGACGGCTGATCGACCACCTGCAAAACACGCCCAGCTTCTCACTGGACACGGTCGAGGTGCTGGTGCTTGATGAGGCTGACAGGTGAGCGGGCGCTGACTGCTGGTTTGTTGGCTGAGTCACTGCGGGGATGGGAGGCGCTACGCTGGTCAGGTGGGAACACGCTCAGCTTCTCACTGGACACGGTCGAGGTGCTGGTGCTTGATGAGGCTGACAGGTAAGCGGGCGCGGGCGAGCGCCAACCGGGTGTGTGCGGCACTCTGCTGGATATGGTGAATGGGAGACGACCCGTGAGCCGTAAGACGGGAGACACTCCACTGCTCGGGAGGCCAGACGGCACTCCGCAGGCTACGAAGGATGGGAGAAACTCTGTGGGGTAGCAGAGCTTAGAACCATTCCGCTGACGTGGTGGCCAAGACACTCTGCAGGCCTCTGGACGGGATACATTTTCAGGACAAAATTCTGTAATATAAAAAACCAATAGCTGAAGGCTACTTTTGACGGCTAGATCATAGATAAGAGCATGCTGTGTGTAATGCGGAGAATTTGTGGTAGGGAGGAAGAGCGTTGAAAGGGATGTCAAATCCATTACCAGCGTCGAGCCCTGACACATGTGTCTTTCGGCAGGATGTTGGACGAGTATTTCGCCGAGCAGATGGGTGAGATCATCAAACAGTGCTCGGCCACGCGGCAGACGATGCTCTTCTCCGCCACAATGACGGACGACGTCAAACAGCTGGCGGCGGTATCGCTCAAAGACCCCGTCAAGGTGTTCGTCAACGAAAACACCGACGTAGCCGCCAACCTCAAACAGGAATTCGTCAGGTGGGTGACCGGTGATACCTCGCACCTGATGCGAAATAATTTGAGGTCCTTCCGTTTTTTTTTTAATTTATTTGTGCTTTACTGCGATGCCTGACCTGCTTGTTCAGGTGCGTTGTTCGCGTTCTACTTAGAAGAAGGCCCTTGCGCATTGCTTGACTTTGTCTCTGTCCAAGCCCTAGCTCTCAGGGCGTCCACGTAGTGAAACCTTCATTTTTACTAATAATTCGCCGATTCGTGGGACGTGTTCAGACGATAATGGTTCGATTTCTTTTTATCTAGTTAATCCCCAGAACTTTCAGCAGCCTCCCTTCATACAGCAGCTAACTGACGTGTCGCTTTCCTGTCCGATGTCGCCAGGATCCGACCGGGCCGGCAGGGAGACCGGGAGGCGCTGCTCGCCAGCCTGCTGCTGCGATCGTTCAAGGAGCGTGTCATGGCTTTCGTGCAGACCAAGCGGCAGACGCACCGGCTACACATAGTGCTGGGACTGCTCGGAATACGGGTACGCGGTGCTCCATGAGGTGAAAGGGCCATCGCCAGCCGTCATATGCGCTGTGTGACGACCTCAGTCGCACGCTATCCTCCAGTCATGAGATAAACAAACCAGCTTAAAATAAATAAGGACGTTATTCCGCAAGGCATTGTTTTGGCCTGTCATAAAGATGAATGAAGCAGTCGGTATTGCTTGTTTGTTGGGTTTGATAAGTCAACAGTCATCTAATAAACATGTTGCATTCATGCCACCAAGCGTCGCATGTCTCACATGTCTCGTCGCATAATAAACGTGTCTGTTCTCTCGACTCGCCAGGTCGGGGAGCTGCACGGGGACCTCAGCCAGGCTCAGCGGCTCGAATCTCTGCGGAAGTTCCGCGAGCAGGAGATCGACGTCCTGCTGGCCACCGACGTAGCCGCCCGTGGTCTCGACATCCCCGACGTGAAAACGGTGAGCTGCGGACGGCCGAATGGGCGGTGTCCAACGGGGAGCTTCACTGCCGCTAACCGGCGCCGGTTGCTGGCCAATCACAGGGCCTTGTTCACGAGCTAATTTTCATTATGTGTTCCAGAGAGTTAAATGGTCAAAACAGGTGAATGCATTATGTCGCCGTCCTTTATCGAGCTTTCCGATCAGATGATCTGTCATTGTTTCCGTGTTCCGAAGCTGAATGCCCATTTTATGTACATCAACAGCTCCCCCCGTTTCTCGCTGTGCTGCGTTTTTCGTTTGAGGTAATCATCTTCATGATGCTGGCACTGGTATCACCCCTGTGCCGCAGTGCTCCCTGCCTCAGTGTAAGTCGTTGAGTCCACTTGTATGACGCCGTTCCCCGTTCCGCCGCTCAGGTGATCAACTTCACGATGCCGGCCACCATGCAGCAGTACGTGCACCGGGTGGGCCGGACGGCCCGGGCCGGTCGCGCAGGACGCTCCGTATCCATGGCCGGGGAGACGGAGCGCGCCATGATCAGGGAGATCAGCAGGCGCAGTCTGCGGCCGGTCGAGATCCGCACCGTGCCACAAGGTCAGTTCCCCGGCTGCAGGGGCGCGTACACCGGTCAGTAAACTGATCGTCTTGTCAGCGAACTGGGGATTAGGGGATACACCGTCACAGGTCATCGGATTGAGGATACACCGTCACCTGTCAGTGGACTGGATACTGGGGAGTGGGGATACACCGATACCGGCCAGCGGACTGATACACCGCCACCGTGGACTGGGGGATGCACCGTCAGCGGACTGGAGACTGGGGGATACACAGTCAGCGGACTGATGCACCGGTCAGCGGGCTGGGTATACAGCGCCACCAGTCAGCGGACTGGAGGATACACCGCCACGGGTCGGCGGACTGGGGATGCACCGCAACCGGTCAGCGGACTGGGGGATACACCGTCAGCGGACTGATACACCGTCAGCGGACTGGGGATACACCGTCAGCGGACTGGGGATACACCGCCACTGGTCACCGGTCAGCGGACTGGGGATACACCGCCACAGGTCATCGGACTGGGGACGGGGGAGGGGGTACACTGACACAGGTGAGCGGACCATGGGAACATCGGTCGCAGTCCGTGGACTGAGGAACATCCCGACCGACACCGGATTAGGGGCAGGGGGTACACCGCCACTGGTCAGCGGACTGGAGACTTGGGGATAGACCGCCAGGCGCCACTGGTTAGCGGACTGGAGATACACTGTCACATGTCAGCGGACTGATACACCGACACCGGTCAGCGGACTGGGCATATACCGCCACAGGTCAGCGGACTGGGGCATATACCGACACAGGTCAGCGGACTGGGGCATATACCGACACAGGTCAGCGGACTGGGGCATATACCGACACAGGTCAGCGGACTGGGGCATATACCGACACCGGTCAGCGGACTGGGGCATATACCGACACCGGTCAGCGGACTGAGGACTGGGGCGTGCAACGCCACCGGTCAGCGGACTGGCTGGGAACGGGGACACCCTGCCACCAGTCAGCAACTGTGCTACTTCCGCAACCCAGCGACTCCAGGTCGCTGGGTAAGTTGATGCAATGCATGTTTTACATTGCATGTCGAAGGGTAATAATGAAGGTAAACGGGTAAATATTTTGCCGATCCGTATGTCCGTCATCACAAACGTGAATCGCCCTGGAAAAAAATGTATTTTCGGTACTTACTTGAGGTCACTAGAAGGTTATTTATTTATTTGTTTGTTTTTTTGCTATTTTATTGAGAGTACCTTATGAAATTTACGATACAGATATAAAAAGCTTTCGATGTGACGGCGGATTGTAACGGCGGATGTAAGGACTGATTCAGTTTTCGATGTAACGGCGCTGATGAAGCCGTAGAGACGGAACCGGTACGCCATTCATGTAACTTTTTATATTTGTATCGTGAATCTCATAAGGTACTCTCAATACAATACTTGTCCAGATTATATTCAAATTTTCGCTATTTAACGCACAATAAAAAGTATCGATTCTGTCCGGTGGGTGGGTGCCGGGATGGGGAGGGGGTGACGGGTGCGTGGGTGGACGTAGCGCCGAGGGGTCTGGTTAGGGCCAGCCGACAGCGCCTTTGCCGCTGGTCTGGCGTGTTGGAAGGCTCGGAGCGCCATGTAATTGATACTTTGGGGTATAACATCAGTTTGTAAGCCTGTTAACAATGTTAAGAATGTCAATTAATGTTCGTGCCGTTAATAAATTGGGAAAAAAGTATCGATTCAAAAAACGGTACCGTTAGATTTCCTATGTGCACGAACTTTGAACATAGAGTTACGAGCAGTTATGTATACCATTTTGCATCTCAAGCCAGCCAAGCCTAAGTGGCCACGTAAGAAACGGCTGCGCGACTGCGCCGCAGAGAGGGTGTGGGCCGCCGCGCGCCGAGCGGCCGAGTCAGTCTGCTCCGGGCCGCCGTCCCGCCCGCTCGTGGGTCACAGTCAGTGACAGGAACTCCGTCTCAGAGGCGCGCCCGTCTGTTTGTGTTGGGCGGCGCCGTACGGCCGCCATGTAGTTAGCGCGCTGGGACGCCTGACCATCGACACTGTTTTCCGTGTCACGTGTGAATGGCTGCCAATTGTACTGAACCTGAGTTATCGCCGACTCAGGAACTCATCGCCGACGTGCTGCGTCGCAGTGGGCTCCAGCACAAGCCTCTATACCGTGGCATGTAGCGGTCTACGGCTCCGGATGCAGATATCTCGCTGTCTCGCGCCGACCACGTGTCGCTCAGTGCTGTAAGACATACCAGCGCGGCGTATGTAGACCAGTGATCGGCCGACCGGCAGTGGGAGTGTTTACATTGCGTGAGGGACTGTCGTGCCCGCTGGCCCCGGGAGCTTCGCGTGCTGGGTCGTCCGTCTCAGCAGAGCGTGGGAGTGACAACATCGGTGGCATTGGCGACAGTGGTGAGGTATTCTGATTCACCCCAGCGCCGCCTCGTGCACCTGAACTCACCGAGTGACCAGCGGGACTGGACGGGCAGAGCGACCGGCGGCACCTGAGCTGACAGAGCGACCGGTGGCACTGAACCGACAGCGAGCTGCGGCACTGAACTTATGAAGTGACGGAGCGACCGACACCACTGAACTGACCCAGCGAGCGGCGGCACTGAACTGGCAGAGCGACTGGTAGTACCGGCAAGCGACGGGCGGCACCTAACTCGTCGAGCGACCGGCAGCACTGAACTGAGTGGGCGACGGTATTCGGCCGGTGGATAAGGAGCTCTGCCTGGCCGCCCGTCCCGGCCGTGGGCCATGGAGCGGTGCTGTTTCCAGTTCTTTGAGCTGTCGGCGGGTGTGCGCGGCCTGGGCGTGCTGTTCGTGGTGGTGAACCTGGTGCTGCTGCTGCCGGTGGTGGAGGACTGGCTGCAGCCGGAGGGCGCGCCGGTCCCGCCGGTGGCCGGCGGCGAGCTGCAGCTGCTATACCGGCGCCACCGGCGGCCGCTGCTGGCGCTGGCCGCCGCCGCCGTCAGCGTCAGCCTGCCGGTGAACGTGCTGCTGGTATGCGCCGCGGCGCCGGGCCGCCGGCCGCGCCGCCGCCGGCTGCTGCTGCTTCCCTGGCTGGCGTGGTACGCGGTGCTGTTCGCCGCCGGCTCGGCCGCCGTGCTGGCCGGGCTGGCGCAGTGGGCGCGCGGCCGGCTGGCGCTCAGCGCTGCCGCCGCGCTGCTGGCAGTGGGCGTGCTGCCGCTCTGCTGGTACTGGTACGCCGCCGTTCTGGCCCTGTTCAGGAGCCGACCCTCACCGTTCGGCGCGGGGGACAGACGCAGCGCCGCCGCGGACATTGACTGCGGCGAGTCGGCCGGCGACCCGAGCAGCGTGATGCAGGGGACGCTCAGTCGCGCCGTGTGGTACTGGGCGGCGCTGAACGCCGCCCTCATGGACGAACAGGAGTGCCGCCGACCGCCGCCGGCCGTGGAGCAGCACCTGCCGCGCAGGGACAGCTCGCGGGCGTCGCTCGACTCGCTGCGCTCAGCGTGGCGGCGGCTGACGGGCGTCCCGTCGGGGGCCGGACAGACGCCGTCCGAGACGGGCGGGCCGGGCCCCCTCCTCCCGCCCCTGAGCAGACAGAACACCGAGACCGGCGGGCAGATAACAGAGGACTGATTCAGCAACGTTTGAACGCAGTGTGGTCGGGCTGGGTCTTCACGGTGTGAACTCTCCGCACTGAAAAATCCCACACAGTGTAACTGGTTCGTACCGAACAACCTCACACTGTGTGAACAATTGTCTGCAATGAGGAGGAGGGCCTTCAGTGGACCTATCACATCACGGGCTAGGTGAACTTCACTTCACTCATCACTGGATTTATTGCTTGACTGATCGCGATGGTTTCCGTGAAACTGTTCTCATGTCCCCGTGGGTCACACAAGCACATTTATCTTTGACGCTCTTTTATTTTAGTCTGTCTCGTGTGTCCTGACATTGTTGTGAGATATTTTCAATAAGCCGCATTTTGCCTTTGTAAGGATGGGAAGTTTAGTGCTCTAGCGTCGTTTGTCGACAAATATTTCTACACATCTGATACAAATAGTCCTCGTGTTTGAAAGGTGTGCGTCAGCGTCTGTTTCATAAAGGTACAGTCATGTCAAAGCGCATACAATGAATACACTGAGCCCTGTTTAACAAGCTCTTCCCTTTTCTTCCCATAAAACTTCTCTTATTTTTAGAACTAAAAAATAATAATAATTGAAAGAGGCACAGATTCGTTTCCATCAACGGGCCTTGGATCTGGCTGAGCGTTTATCCGAGCCATGACAGTACGGTATAATGAAGTGAGCCGGCTCGACTGGATGACACTGGCACACACTGAGCACTTGAGCAGTCTCGGTTGCGGGGCCGCTCGTGCTCAGTTCAGCCCTGCCTAGCCGGGCGCGGCGGCCGGATGTGTACCCGGGTGCAGAGTGCTGTGTATGGGCCGACTGTTCCACGTGCCACGACCGTGTCCGGCACAGGGATATTCGAGCCGTGTCCGCCTCTGCCCGGTCCGAGCGGGAGCCACAGGGAACGTGCCGAGGCGGACCAGTCACGGCTCCGATAACACTCAGTCGGTCCCCCGCAGAGCCAGTCAGCAGCTCCGGAAACAACAGCCGTGCCGGCCAGTCAGCAGCAGATCGGGACGGGGTGTTCTGGTTTAGCTGTTAGGGCCATTGGATACGAAGTCCGCATTTTCCTGGTTGCCTTTTTTTAGACAGCTGCACTTTGTAACCGTACTAATTAATTACGGTCATGAAATCACAGCATACATGTATCTATGGTAGCTTTCCTTGAATATATTTGATTTCACATAGCCAGCTGAATGCCTACTGTTTCTACAGCTCCACTCAATATGCAGCGGGTCAGCCGGTGGGACACACAGGGGGAGTGGGGACACACGTGAGGGCACAGCAAGACAGGCAACAGATATACAGCGGCACACTGGCGGAAACAGGCACAGAGGGGAACACACGTCAGGACACAGCAGCACATGCAGCAGACATCCAGTGGGACAGAGCGGGGCGCGCCGGCGGGACACACGGGGGACAGGCAGCAGATGTACATACAGCGGACACAGCAGAACATAGCGGTGCACGGCTGTCCGATGTTATACAGATTACAACAATTAGGGCATAACGGGACTCCCGCCGCGCAGCTTTCACTAGTGACCAAAAAGTCACAATGATAAGCAATAACATCTTTTTTTCAGGTGGTCATCAAATTTAGTCTGATCGAGATACAGTTTCACACCAACACACGAGGCCTGAGGTGTGTGTGTGCCCCTCTGTGTCTGTTTCCGCCAGTGTGATATCCGCTGAATATCCGCTGCCTGTCTTACTGCCTGTCCTTCTGTGTTATTTGTCCGTTGTTTTGTCCATTGACTGACCCGTTCTCGCCCTTCACAGCCGCTGCCTGTTCTGCTGTGTTTGTCTGTTGTGTAGCCCACTAACCGACCCGCCGTCGCCCGTTTCCAGCCGTGGTGGACCGGTACCGGCAGAAGATCGAGCGGCTCGAGTCGCAGGTGGACGCCGTGTTCCGCCTGGAGCGGGAGGAGCGCGAGTTGCGCAACAGCGAGGCGCAGCTGAGCCGGGCGCAGAAGGTGCTGGAGGCGCCCGAGCAGCGGCCGCGCACCTGGTTCCAGACGCAGCAGCAGCGCGCCAAGGCCAAAGGTACCCTAGCCCACGCACACAGGATCAGATATACATATAGCACGCTCAGACATACGCAGGTAAATCACGAGCTGTACGCATTAATGGGAAAGGCTCGTGTTGAACATATCTCTGCTTTTTTTCTTTTGTGACGCTCCAAGCTTCAAACACTGAGAAGCCGTATTTATCGTAACTTATATATTCAATTAAAGGAGGACTTTGCATAACCGACAGTTTCAGCTGCTAATATGCTGCCCAATACATATGTTACCCTTCATGGTAACACACCGCACGTCTCGATATTTCAACGGATGAGTGCGTATAGCGGCATTCGGAATCCCTTCTGACGCACCACTCATCCGCAGAGGCGGCCAAGCTGGAGACGAGTGGCGGCGACACCACCAAGGCCGGCAAGAAGAAGAAGAAGAAGGTGACAGCTGAGGAGCGGGTGGAGAAGGAGCTCCAGAAGCGCTACCTGCTGCAGGCCAAGGCGGCGAAACGGGCCAGCCGGCGCGCCGGTGGCGCCGCGCCAGTGCCCGGTGAGATGCCCCCCCCCCCCCCCCGATATCTATGCCGCACTGAACCCGGCCGAAGCAGCCGGCTAGTGCAGTTCGCTTCCTGGAAGTTCGTTTGTCTACCGTGATATACCAGTCTCCGCGTTTTGAAGATTCTTTCACTGTGTATGGGTTGAAGTGTTCACACGAAAGGCTTTGCACAAATCTAAATGTGGTCAACCATTCGTTTTGGTGATGGCATTATTTTGGCACGCCGCTGCACTCGTATTTTGATTTTGCAGAATGTTCAACGTTTTGATTTCTTAAATAGTGCTCCTTGTCGTAGCTTCCCATTTCTTACTGTTCGCTTCCGTTTGTTACAGTGAAAAAGAAGGGGCCGAAGGGCAAGAAGAAGGGATTGAATCTGACGTCGGAGCTGACTGATGTTAGCCACAAGGCCGTCAAAGGTTTCCGATACAGGTATGCCGGGACGCAGGAAACAGCGGGCTCGGCTTTGCAATTTTGCATCAGCCGAACATTGTTTTGTTTGATATAATTATGCATGCGATTGATACCATTGCTGCAATACTTTGGTATTTTATTTTGGTCGTTCAGTTTAAGAACGAATTCCAGAATTGTCTGCTTGTCTGCTTTTTAGGACCGTACACGTTTTGCGAACGAGGCAGCGATGCCGATATCCGATGTGATTGTGGATGTAATTGACTGTTTTAACGCTCATTACGTCGAGTTTACCGTTTCACCAATTTTACCTTTACACTTGTCGCCTCACGATTCAATACTGCTCTGACGTTTGTTTATGCGTGCTTCTCAGGGCCACTGAAGCTATCCGTGAGAAGAACCGGGAAGAGTCCAGTCGCGGCTCAAGAGGAAAATCGCGCGGTGGTGCGCGCGGTGGGGGCCGTGACGGGTCTCGGGGACGGGGTGGGGGCCGTGATGGGTCTCGGGGACGGGGTGGGGGCCGTGATGGGGCTCGCGGTGGCGCTCGAGGTGGTGCTCGCGGTGGGGGTCGTGATGGGTCGCGGGGACGCGGTGGGGGCCGCGGTGGGGCGCGGGGAGGGTCTCGGGGTCGCGGAGGGGGCCGCGGTGGGTCTCGAGGTCGTGGCCGGTAGTCAGTAGTCGCCCGGTGGCCTCAGCGCCATGTCGGACTGTCCACGCTGTGAAAATACAACTGTCAAACGAATTCAGCGGATTGTTAGCTGCTAATGGCTAGCTTCTTTAGTTTCACACCACGGGAAACTAACTCACAGACGCCGCTTGAACTGGTGACACAGTGTATTGCCAACAATATTACGCGTGCCTCACAAAGCACCGGTGAACGATGTACGAAAATCAGCCACTTCTTTGTAGGATTCGACTAAGCGTTCGGTGCGCAAACGAACGCGAATGGATCAAACGGCAACTCGGCTAGACTGGCTAGAGAAAGGAGCAGGTCCCATGACTGAGGTGACACTCAGACTGGCTACGTGGAGGACAAGGACCTAGTCGAGAATATGGACTTTGGACTGGCTTGGAGTAGGGCAGGTCTCGGCTGAGGCGGCCCTTGGTAAACTCGTCGGTCTCAGTGAACAAGCAAGCGATATTACATCAAACAAAACGAAAAGTAACTTAAAGATAGGACAGCACAACAGCGTCGTGAATGCAAACAACAGCCGAGAGACAGCCGACAGACATGCACTATAGTACGTGGTCGCCAGGCGGCTTCATACGCACACAATACGCACGCGCACGTACACACTGGCACGCGTTGGTCTCACGCCGGCCGGCGGACGGCGGAAGCTCTGGGCCGGGCGAGCGGTGCCGGCAGCCGGCCGACCCCTGGAACGGTGTGCCGGGCTTCGGACGGCGCCGCACCCGCGCTGCGCCGGCACTGAGATAGTGGCGCTGTCTCCGGGCGCACAACACATCGCACTCACACGTCCAATAACAAACACGTCGTCTGAGAATGCCTCTGTGCCCGTTTGTCGGCCTTCCAGTTCGGCGGGCTCACCCTGAGGCCACAGCGTCCGGCGGCACGCGCGCCCACACTGCCCGTATCACAAAGTAAAAAAAAAAGAACAACTGAGCGCGCGCGCGGCACCGTGAAGACACTGGTTGGTGGCGCCGACGGCCGCCCTAATGTCGAGCTGCAGCGGCGGGGGCGGCGGTCGGCCGCCTCTGACTAGCGCCGCCGCGGCCGCCTCTTTGGCTCGGGGCGAAAGAGCTATGTGGCGAGGGGCCGGTCGGCGGCCGTCAGTCGTCCGAGCCGTCCGAGCTGTCGTCCAGCTCGAGGTCCGAATCGGCCAGCTGCCGCGCGCGCGCCGCCGCCGCCGCGGCCGCCTCCTCCGGCGACTTGTCCTTGCGGAACTCGTACACCAGCGGGAAGATGTGCTCGATGGCCTGCTGGACGGCGCTCACAGACGGCGCTGGCGGCACGGCCAGGACAATGTCACACACGGAGCAAAGACGGGGCTATATCACACTCGGAGGGCGACACAGACGGTGCACGGTCACACACACGTAGGACGACACATACCCAGTACGGTCACACATTCAGACGGCAGTACGGTCTGAGAACATCTCTGAGGATACTATCCATGACCATGTAACATGTTCATAATGGTTTGAAATCATACTGCTACCGAAACATACTCCTGCAAAAGTGAACTGCGACCTGTCGGCAGCGTGCCACTCCTACCGAAGACTGTGGTGCTGCCCGTAGACTAGGCTGTGAGTCGTTCTCTCCTACCTGTGACTGTCACGCTGAGTGCTTTTCTCCTGCCTGTGACTGTGATGCTGCCCGTGGACTGTGGGGCCGCTGTGGGTCGCTTCTACCTGTGACTGTGATGCTACCCGTGGTTAGTGGACTGAGACTGTGACTGTGCTAGTCGTCCCTACCTGTGACTGTGATGCTGCCCGTGGAGAACACCTTCAGAGTGGCCTTGAGGTGGTTAATGCGGTACGTGACGCCCGGATGAAGCTCCGGCTCGTAACTGGCGAAACAAACGCAACGTAAACACACGCAGCGGTATCAGAACAGGCTTACATAGGGTGGATAACTGGGCAGGCAGACCGGATAGTTGACTGATTGGCGCAGAACACGATTATGAGTAAAAATGTATCATTGAACATACTCCAGACTCCACCAAGTTACATTCATTGGCATTGAGATTTCAGACATGAAAATAGAGGTCAAAACAGGTCAAGTGGTTGCGTTGGCGTCATCATCTAGCAACCGCTGATACTCCAGGTGCACACTAAAGTGGCACGAGGAGAGACAGATAGCACGATTACTGGCTAGCATGACGTTGATAACGAACTAAAACCAGAAAATTATGAGCCCTGGAGATTAATGTGAATTACGCTAAAATCCATCACACTTGAGTGAATCTCCGCCAACTAGACACAATATCTCTTCACATCGCTATCAACCCATCTGGCTGGGAAATCCCCTTTCAGAAGCCGTGACACTGCCCGCACTGGATCGATCACTCGAGGTCACTCAGGCTCAACATTACTGACAGGTTCACTCACCAGGCGATGCGAGGGTACTTTTGCGAGAAGTCGGCGATCTTGATGCTGAACGGCATCGTGCACGTGCCGAGCACGTTGACCACGCGGAAGTTTCGGAATCGCGCCGGGTAGCTGAGCTCCTTCTGCAGATAGCGCGCCACGCGGCGGGCGGCCACGCGCGCCTCGGCCTCTGATGTGGAGCCCGTGCACGTGATCTTACCGGAGGACCACATAGAAGCCGTGGTGTACGGCCGCCGCATCTTCATCGTCACCATCTGACGGCAGTGGAGAGGAATAGAGTCACTGACCACCTACCGGTGATGGAGGGGAGTAGAGTCACTACCCAGTTGTCTGTCGACAGGGGAGGGAGGAGTTATCATCTACCGAAAATGGAGGAAAGAGTAACCCTACCGGCAGTGGAGAAGACACCACCCATATAACGGTAGTGGAGGTTATCACTTGCCGGCAATGGACCAAGAGTCCACCGGTTATGGGGGGAGGACTGAGGAGTCACCATCTACCGACGGTAGAGGGGAAGTGTCATCTGTTGGTAATGGAGGGAGAGATATCATCTGCTGGCAATGGAGGAAGAGTCACCATCTACCGTCAGTGGAGAGGAAGTTACATCTACTAGCGGCTGTGGAGGAGTGGCAAAGGGGGAATCGCCGGCCGCCGGCACAATCACGGTCGTTTCCGGGCATGCCGTTTAACGTGTTGTGTACACGAACTATCTGAGGCAATCCACAAATGGGACTTTATGACACTTAGTTGAACGCGTGGTCTACACTCGATACACAGACAGGTGAAATATTTCAAAGAATAGAAAACATAGTATGCTACAGTAACTCGTTGGATATGGCATAAAAATATTTTGTCGGTGAGTATCCCCCACCCCCTTGGTCCAGTGCCCGGGGACCGAACAGGTCCCCGTCCCCCGGGGACAGAGCAGCTCCCCATCCCCCGGGGACAGAACGGCTCCCCGTCCCCCGGGGACAGAACAGCTCCCCGTCCCCCGGGGACAGAACAGCTCCCCGTCCCCCGGGGACAGAACAGCTCCCCGTCCCCCGGGTCCCCGTCCCCCGGGGACAGAACAGCTCCCCGTCCCCCGGGGACAGAACAGCTCCCCGTCCCCCGGGGATAGAACAGCTCCCCGTCCCCCGGGGACAGAACAGGTCCCCGTCCCCCGGGGACAGAACAGCTCCCCGTCCCCCGGGGACAGAACAGCTCCCCGTCCCCCGGGTCCCCGTCCCCCGGGGACAGAACAGCTCCCCGTCCCCCGGGGACAGAACAGCTCCCCGTCCCCCGGGGACAGAACAGCTCCCCGTCCCCCGGGGACAGAACAGCTCCCCGTCCCCCGGGGACAGAACAGGTCCCCGTCCCCCCGGGGACAGAAAAATCCCCGTCCCCCGGGGACCGAACAGGTCCCCCCCTCCCCCGGGACAGACCAGGTCCCCGTCCCCCGGGGACAAAACAGTTCCCCGCCCGCGTACCCCGTTCTCCCGCCGGTACTCGACGTTGTGGCCGTTCTGCGCGATGTGCTTCAGGTCCAGGTGGCAGCTGACGCTGAAACTGGACACCACGTTGTTGATGACGATGTCGATGACAGGCTCCTCGGGCTCCGGCTGCGCCGGCGCCGCCGGCGCGGACGCAGCGACCAGCGGCGGCTCGACGAGACCGGACGGGCCGCCGCCACCGCCTCCGCCAGGCGACATGGGACCAGCCGAGCTCAGCGTCTGTACCAGCGCCATCGGACCCGGCCGCAAGCTCGCCGGATCTGCTGCCCGACACACGGGTCACAGCTCAGGGAGGCAACCAAGTCTGCCGAATAAACTAGGCTTCTGAAATAAAAAAAAATGCAGGCATCAATTATTTGTTTATTGTGGGTGGATTTATGACCACATATGGGTAAATAACCAATTTCTTCATTCATTTCGGTACGATCTTGCTTTCAAACGACTGGTATAGGGGTAAGAAGACTCATATAGGCCATATTTTCATAATGAAGCGCAAAAATGTTGTCAACATGAAATCCAATGGCTTCCAAAATCAATATAAGCTGTATTGGCTTTGTGAAGGACAAACAGAGGGACTCTCCATCCATCACCTAAAACTTATTTTGAAAAGTTGTGCTGTATATTATTCTGGTATCATCAATCACATACTTATGAATAATAATTATCTAAGACGTCAGAATGAAATCATTTTAGCATTGATACATATATCGCATTATCAGGTATTTAAGGTAACAAATCTCAAACACTGCAACTGTTTTTGTATCTCAACATTTTTACATTGTGAATTGTGATCAAATATAATCAAGGTAATGTACAAAAAGGCTATAGGAGTCTTTGTGGTGCTGAGGATAGCACTGAACGAGGATGAGAACAAGTTTACACACTTATTCTTGCAAACCATGATCACATCCCTCATTCACCTTCCTTGTGGGAAAAAACGATACCTAGCTAAGCAACCATAGTAATGAATCAATCTTTCGATTCTCTGTTCCCAGCAAATCAATCTTTAATTACCTTTTACTATCCTTTATAAATCAAATTGATATGATTAAAGCAACAGCACTATGTTAGGCATACAGTCTCAACATTTCTCTACTGAGCTCATTCTTCTTTTTAACACTTGTAAGTTATAACTGTAACTTTTAACTAACTTATGATGTTTTGCACAGAAGTATAATGATGTGCAATGTCACTTTTCAAACTTAGAGGGATACCTTCTTTCCTTTCATGTTTCATGTTAGGTATATTTTGTGAATTTCTCCAGCTTTTAGAGGGTATTTAAGGTAGTCATAGCCCACCACCTTCTTTTCTAATAATCAGAAGCATAGAAATGGTCTGCATTGATGCCTAAATATGGTCATGAAGAGCAGTAAAATTTGTTTGGTGAAATTTGGTTGATATTCATGTTTGATGCCTCTGAACCATGGGACATCACTTTAAAGTGACCATCCCACCTTAACATTAGTTTTGAGTTGAGATAGCCAAATTGGTGGCCATGGCCTGCAAATACCGGTTTGGGCACTCACAACATCGAAAAATGCTTTAATTCAGAGATATGGAAATTCAAACCTGCAGTTTTTGGATTCTAAGGGGCTAATGTATTGGAATGCCCCCTTAGAATTTGTGACGTCAGCGGAGATTTTTTTTAAAATAAATTTAGCTCGAATGTTTGAATGGACGGATTGACAGAGCCGGAGCCCACGCTAAGCAGAGCTTGTTGCGTAGACCCCGACCCCTACCGTCCGATCGCGCAATTCCGAGTAACGGGAGAATTTAGATGCCAAAGTTTAACGTGCCCTTCAAAGCCGGACACGGCCTGTCCCACTCAACTGACTTCAACTGGCTGCGGCTGCTCCCACCAACAGCAGACCATCCCCGTCAGGAGTCTCAAATATCGAGCGCCGGAGCGTCTCGAACCCGGGCTCTCACTACTGGGAGTCCAATGCTCTACCAACTGAGCTACGGGACAGGCTAGGAGATCTAACGATTTTTAAATCATAGACTAAAACCATCAATTATTGCATCAAAATAAAGTCCCTAGAAACAGGAGAGATCCAAAAAGTAAATGAAAGCAAAAGTCTAATATCTTGAAAACTGGTGAATATTTTTCAGTGAAATTTGGTAGATTTTCGTTTTCGCTCTTTGTGAACCGAGCGATAAAACTTTTGTGCAAATTTATAAACTTTTTTGAAGGTGGGAGGGTCCCTTTAATGCCAATTCATTTACTTTTTTGAATGTGGGAGGGTCCCTTTAAACCAAGGACTTATGCAAAAACGTCAACAGGACATTCATCATACAAGAAATCGAGCTGCACACCTGTGACAAAGGTTAAGTATCGCTGGTGCCGATTCTTATCTCAATCTAGCGGGGATGATCGTCAGCACGCTGCACGAGGGTGTAAAATAAAATAAGGAAATCAGTGAATGATCAGCTTTTCGCACAAAAATGGAAAACAAACCGATAAAGACGTCTAATTATCATTAAATTTGTTAATTTCGTTTATCCCGACCAACCTCGTAAATATTTCTCTCAGAGTGGAATAGGAACAATCAAGGTAAATGTATTATAAAAGTCAATATATTGGAGTCGATTTTCAGAAATAACGTAAATAAAAAAAGACTTCCAATATATACAATGTTGGCAAATAAAACACTTTATTTGTTTTATTTGTCCACAAAATAAAATCATTTATATAAAAATTGGAAAAAATAGCTCAAATATAACCATAATTTGTCAGATTACGTCATCTTTGAATAACAAATAAGTTCCTCTCGACAGCAATGAAATATCGTTGACGATAAATGGCGCACTAGAATTCCTTACACTGTTCGTTATCTATTTTACGGAATTTGTCGCTCTTTGATTAGTGGAAAGCACAGCTTACGTGCCAACGCTACCACCATACGCATGTGAGTTCTGCTGTTGACCAATGAGAGATTAGAGACCGAACAGCCGTAACGTCGCATGGATTGTTTTCCGGCGATGGCCAACGTGATCGCGTGTGCTGAGTTGTTGAGCTGTGTGCATTGGTTAAGCCAAGGCCGTATAAGAGGATTAAGCTTGTTATTAAACGTAGGTAACAGATCATTTTTATCTTGATTTATGGTTGAGTCCATAGAAATATGTATATCTACATGGTTGAGTCGATAATACTTCATAAGGTCAGCTTGAATTGTTGGTCAGCACCGACTATTTTGCAAAGTTGAAGCTATAAATGCAGATTATGCATGATTGGCCATGGTTGTTACATTATAGAGTATAGGTTTTTTAATGGATTTGATTGTATGTTACGTTCGTAGATGTTGTGCGTGTTGGGAGCACCAGTCTGCTTTCTGCCATCCCTGCGTGCCATATCAGTCGGGGAAACTATGGTAAAATCTGCTATTTTTAGCAGTCTGCTATTTTTAGCAGAAATCTGCTAAAAATGGGTACGCATGTGACGTCATCGTACCCAAATATAGCAGATTTGGGTACGGCCCCATACAAAAGCAGATCTGCACCCTAATTGAAGCAAATGCGCATCAAATGCCTGGCAGATTCATGATTAGAATAGTGCTGAGGATGTCCTCTGATATTTTTGTTCAGATCCGACTATTTTCAAATAATGAATTTAAAAATAGTCTGATCTGAACAAAAATAGCAGAGATCACTCTCAGCACTATTCTCATCATGAATCTGCCAGGCATTTGATGCGCATTTGCTTCAATTAGGGTGCAGATCTGCTTTTGTATGGGGCCGTACCCAAATCTGCTATATTTGGGTACGATGACGTCACATGCGTACCCATTTTTAGCAGATTTCTGCTAAAAATAGCAGACTGCTAAAAATAGCAGATTTTACCATAGTTTCCCCGACTGATATTACAGATTTCAAGCACAGTATTTTGATTTCCACAGGATAAGCCACTCAGCTTGAGCTGTCTTTGGTCTGAAAGTGGCTCTTCCCTTTTCCACAGAACATCAATTGAAAGCAGTGCAACAATGGCTGCATACATAGGACAAAATGAAGGGTCCTTGTGGATGGGAGATGTAAGTAGATTGAGATATGACTTTAATAATAAGTTCAGTGTTGCATGCTGGTCAACAGTGATGAGTATCACTCTGTGATTGCAGACCACATGTCAGGCTTTTACAGTTCAAGTGATTATGCTGAACAAGCTGAACTGATATCAATGACAGGCCACAACATAGTGACATTCTATGTGGCACATTTGATGAATGCATTTGATTGATCAATGCCTATTCTGACAGATTGCTGACTACATGGATGCAAATTTTATCACAGCAGCATTTGCTGCAATGGATGAGGCAGTCAGCTCAGTCAGGCACATCAAGAACAAGTATAATGGCTCCAATGCAGGATACTGTTTTGTGCATTTCAAGGATAAGCAGACTGCCACCAGAATCATGCACAAACTCAATGGCAAAATGATACCCAACTCTCAACCGGTAAGTAATGGCTCACAATCTTTTTTGATCTATGTCTTAAAACAGGAATTGATGTACTCTACTTTGTACATTTATGATGGTTTAGCACCTTCTGTTCACCTTCTGTGTTCAGTTTGATTGGATTAGTCTTCTTCTCTCTTTGATTTTCCAGACCCTTTTTTTACCAACTTTCCCATCTTTGAGATTCACATGTAGGTACACACTGATGTACCTAATTATGGCTCTCACCAAGGTGTCTGTCAAGAGCTCTTGACCAAGGTGTCTGTCAAGAGCTGTGACCAAGGTGTCTGTCAAGAGCTCCACACTCCACAGGGATATGAAAAGTAATACTTTCTGTACTTCTCTTCAACCATCGTCTCAGTCAGTGCCATCTCTGAGTGTCGGTCTGAAAGTGGCATAGTGTATTATAGCATAGTGTAATGTAGCGTCTATTATGTATCATTGTTTCATCTACTGTGGGCGACTATCGCTGCATGTGTGCCACAAGGTCGGTGTTGTTCTTACACACAATGTGATTCTGGCAGCCGACGCGGTTTATGCTGAATAACTCGAATGCCGGGCGGACCGGACACGAGCGCGAGTACTCCATCTGGGTGGGCGACCTGGACAAGAGCGTAGACGACTCGCAGCTGTACCTGGCGTTCGCCTCCCGCTACAGCAGCGTGAGCGCGGCGAGAGGTGGGTAACGTCAGTCGCTGGCGTAACGGTTGTCTGGCCGAGGTGGAGTGGGTCAGATATTTCCGCTAACATCGCAACGGTACAGTATATTGTTACGAACCGCTGAAATACGAAATTTTTTAAACATGCCCTTGTTTTTTGGCAGATATGATGCGAGATTAGGTGTTTCGAAAATGCGGCGCACGATACCATAGCTGTCAGTGCGCACAATACCGCAGCTCACATTGTGCACCGTAGTCCAGTGCAGTTCGCGGTATGAGCCTCACCCCGGCTGTTGCCGCTGCCTGTCATCTCTTCACGCCAGCGCGGCTCCTGCTGACCCCCACCCTCGCTCCGCAGTGGTCATGGACCGGGTGACGGGCGTCAGCCGCGGCTACGCCTTCGTCCGATTCAGCAACGAGGACGACCACAAGGATGCTCTGGTTCACATGAACGGCTTCAACGGGCTGGCCAACAAGCCAATCCGTGTGAGCCTGGCGGTGCCGCGCAAACCCAACGCCGGGTAGGTGACGCTCCCACACAGCGCCAGACCATGAATAGGGCTGTCGAATTTAATTTACTTTTCGTCAAATGTACTACCCAAAATGGGCGCAAAATGACCTTATTGTCGGCGTGCCCTATAGCCCCAACAAACAAATAAGTACTACTCACAATGTGTTTTTCTGTGCTAAGTCTCCTGTTGTTCGCGCCGCAGCCAGGACGGCTCGGCTCCCATGCAGGGACCTCCGCCGGCGGGCGGCCCAAACGCTGGCGACGGCAGCGACTACAACGCCTACTACAACCAGTACTGGTACAACTACCAGGCCTGGCAGCAAAACTACGCGCCCTATGATGCCTCCGCCGGTGAGTAATCACTTACTTAGCTTTCCCATGACGTATTTTTTTTAGACATCACGACGATGTCAACGGCGGAACTCAACACATAAACGCATCAGAGAGCATATTGGCAGGCAGCATGTGAAGTGAACGTTTGGAAAGTCCAACAGGGACTTTCGTCACTGCTGAGTTGTCACTGTTTTCACTTATGAGACCTGAGGGGCTCTCAGGTCTCGTGGATGTAAAGACATGTTGGTGAACCTGGTAAATAACAATGTGACTATGGAGAAACACTGATTCAGTGATGAATTATAGCTGGAACAGTATGCCGTACCGGCTTCATTATTGTCCCACTCGTCTAGTGGTGTGGTGTACCAAATTTCTAGCTTTTGACAAAGACCCTTGCATATTGACAAACGCACTAGGCTGTGCGTTTTATTGGGAGTGTTGAGAGTATTTCCGTAGCAGTGGCCGTGACAGTTGGTAGTGGGCGTAGTCTCGATAGCCTACCGCAATCGTATCACTGCGCTCCGACTCACCACTGTGGATTCCATCACGGTATGGTGTTGTGTCAGCTTCAGGGTACCAGCCCCAGGCGTACCAGGGGTACGACCCCGCGGCGCAGGCGGCGGCCGCCGCTCCTACCGCTGTGGCTCCAACTGTGGCTCCGGCGGCGGTCCCCGCGGCGGCTCCGGCAGACACCAGCGCCACCGCAGCGCAGCCAGAAGTGGGCGACGCTCAGGAGGACGACGATCAGGTGGTAGGTGAGTTTACAAACGATGGGGTACGCTACGGGTGCGTCACAAACGAGGGGGTGTGCTACAGACACGTCCTGAACAGGGGTACGGTACAGACACGTCCCAAACGAGGGGTACGAACGGTACAGGCACGTCCCATACGAGGGGCACGGTACAGGCACGTCCCATACGACAGGGTCAGTTTGCTTGGGCAGCTGTAGACAAAGAGCGCTGCGTGACTGTACGAAAAGCATAGGGTCCCTTGTGGGACTGATGAACTGGTATCTATGGGGCTAAATTAACATATTCAGACCTTTACGACTTTTAATATAATACTATTTCTCTGAAACTTCTTGTGTTACAAGTCTCTCCATAGCGATACCATTTGTTAACGTGCTGCAGCTCAACGAAAAGGGTGTGACAACCTGCGGGCCGAACTTGAGCACATACAGAAGCAACAGTTCAGGGTCCGCTCAACTCCCGTGTTAGCGCCAGCTGACCGCTGTCCGGCCTCCGGCGCGCAGCTGTCGCCTGTCTGTCTCCGTGCTCCCCGCACAGTGTTTCTGTACATTGCTTGTCTCCGCCCGTGTCCCCATGCTGTATTTGTCCCTTGTCTCCAGTGTGCCTGACCTGTCTCTGCACTGGTTTATCCGTGTCTCCGTGCTGACCCGTGTCCCTGTGTCTCCGCCAGAGCACGATGTTCCCGCCGACCTGGAGGGCCAGAACCGGGAGTACGTGCGGCGCAGCGAGGAGTTCTGGGACGCTCTGGATACCTCCCGCTGGCTCCAACCGGACGCCCTCAACCCGGCGCTGGAGCTCTTCATCAAAACGTGATCCCGCTCACCCCAGCTGTCATCACACATCTTTGGACCTTTTTCGTACAGGACGAGTTCGAGTTTGAGCTCTTTGAGTTGTCTGCCTGTCGCATCCATCGGAACAGCCTACCTACCGTTCGGAGTCTATGAGCACTTAGTGTCAAATGTCTGCGATTATCGCCCAAAATGACAGAGCGTATTGTTTCGACACGTCCTGTGCCATGGGCGCAATGTTTGTGTGAAAAGTCATCGATGACGGTGTATACGGATAGGTTTTGGGCACGTCTCTATGGGTGTGTGCACTGCGCAGTACGTACGCTGATCTCGGGCACCGAAGGACTGGTACGAATCGCCGTGTGTCGGGTCTAACGGCTCGCATTGAACCTGGGATATTCGATTTTGGGGTATGCGGCGCCATGTCGGCTGGTTCTTCCGAGCCAACCAAGCGTCATTGGCATCATGTCTCATCTGTCCTAGCCGTGAATAAACACGTGCTTTGTGTGTTGTACGTTTTATCGCTGGTTCCTAACTGATGTTCAGGATAATTGCTACTTGCAAAGGCATCAAATATCTGGAAAGCTAGTCTGTCCGGATCTGGGTCGGATTTCAAATTACAAAAGATTGATTGCCTCAACTATGCGTGGTATGCAGTTTTCTACAGAAGGCGATGTTTGAGAAATTCGACAGATAGGATGTTAGAACCTGACGATATATCCGAATCTATTCTCGCTGTGCTTCAACCACACATATCCTTGTAAAATCGATGGGTATATTCAGTCTGTCAGGTCAGGATTAATGGGTGCAAATACAAACACACGGCATCAACAGAACATACAAATAATTGTACTGGCGGCAGCGTTGTGTTAATGAGCTGTTGCAAGCGTCTCTCGCCACCCACTGCGGCCGAGGTCGCAGGTGGCTTCCTCCGGTTGCACACAGTCACACAAAGTCACAGGAAAGGCCTCAGTCGCGGTGGGGGCGGCGGCGGCGGCCCGCTCCGGTGCTGCTGTGCCCGCTCGGCGGGTGCGTGCCATCGCACCGCGGGCACGGCGGACGGCGCCCGCGCTCCCAACACACGCCCCAGACATTTATACAATACATCTTCACACACGCAAAGGGTGGCCACACGTTCAACACCTAGAGATCATCCTAACTCAACACCAACCGAGACGCTCACAAATAAATAACACCGGGCGGCCCGGCTTCTGTCCTGTCTCAGGAGCGCTGGGCTGGGCTGGACTCCACACTCAGCGCACGCAGTATAAAATCTGACTCCGGGCGGGCGGCGCGGAACGCATTGCACGGGGGGTTGGCGGCGGCGCCGCTGGCAGTGGGGGACGGGCGGCGGCGCGGTCACGGCTGCGGCTGGCTGGAGGCCGCCTGGGCGGCGCGCATGCTGTCGATTTTGGCGCAGATTTTCAGCGCCGGTCCGAGCCGGATGGACATGGCCTGCATGAGGTGGTCGGCGCGCAGCAGCATCAGCGCCTGGCCGTCGATCTCCTGCAGCGCAAAGTCCTCTGCGTAGTCGGAGCAGCCGGGCAGGTTACGGATAAAGTCGACCACGTCCTCCACCTGCCGGTCACAGACGGTCAGACGAGCCGCTACAGCGCGTGAAAGGGGATAGAGAAAGGCACAACACGGCGACAGGGGCGAAAATACGCTATGTATGCCCTGCACTCGAAGACGGGCATGCAGGTATTGATTGATAAGGATTACTGAAATTACAACCTACTAAAAGCAACAATGCAAGCATCTGGCCCACATAGCGCCTGACAGTTCGTTTATTTTGTAATTTCTTTCATGAGACGAGGTTTCAAACTTGACCTGACCAAGGAGGATTTAATTTTTGCACTCAACAGGGTGTGACACACAACCCACACTGGGCGGCGTCGGCTAGGTTAAGTGCGAATGGGGTAATTTCAGACACCACTTTCGTTTTGTACTCCACTTTATAAATCCCCACCCCTTCCAATTAGATAGCGGCCGACAGTCATCACTCACCTTCCACGTTAGCGGGTTGGGCTTGTTGGGGTTGATGGGCATCGACTCCTTGTCCACTGGAGCAGCCGGCGACTGTCCGAGGCCGCTGGATGACTCGCTGGCACTCTCAGAATCCGAGGGACCCGGGTTCGACTCCTGCCAGAGGTAGAAATTTGTCAAACAACGGACACGCAAAGCCGTAGCATTATTTTACGGGCTACATTAGTACTGTTCCGTCAATATTATTCAGAGACCAACAACCAGTATAACGCCTTTTGGGGCGATTAACGGAGCGAGCGAGAGGGTGGGCCTTGCACGTGCGAAATTGCGAGGGGGTACCTCCAACTGACTTGTGCACGGCACCCTACTAACCGGTCTCTAGCGATGTGCCAAATTTGGGCACAATTGGCCCAGCCGTTCTCGAGATCTGGAAGCGGCACCCTGCACGTGCGCACGTGCAAAATGGGTCCCAACTGACTTGTGCACGGCACCCTACTAACTGGTCCCTAACTGTGTACCAAATTTGAGCGCAATCGGTCGAGCCGTTCTCGAGATCTGGAAACGACCCCTGCACGTGCGCACGTGCAGCAGCACCCCAACTGTGGCACATGGATATGCAGTGCCTAGTGGGTGCCTACCTACATGCCAACTTTCAGCGCAATCGGCCAAGTAGTTACCGAGATATTGCAACAATTACAAAACGGACACCTCTTCGTTTTGCACGTGGCACGTGCATAAGGGGTCACCCACATGCATCAGGAATAGTCCAATACTTGGTAGAAGGAATGAAGCTACCCTACAAAAATTACCGCGTGTAAATCGGTCAAGTGGTTGCTGAGATATAAGCCTCCCAAAAGCGTGACCACGGCCGGCCGGCCGGCCGGCCGGCCGCTCATACTCAGAAATTTCCGTTAATCTAAGGAACCAGTATAACGCCTTTTGGGGCGACCAACGGAGCGAGCGAGAGGGTGGGCCTTGCACGTGCGAAATTGCGAGGGGGTACCTCCAACTGACTTGTGCACGGCACCCTACTAACTGGTCTCTAGCGATGTGCCAAATTTGGGCACAATCGGCCCAGCCGTTCTCGAGATCTGGAAGCGGCACCCTGCACGTGCGCACGTGCAAAATGGGTCCCAACTGACTTGTGCACGGCACCCTACTAACCGGTCCCTAACCGTGTACCAAATTTGAGCGCAATCGGTCCAGCCGTTCTCGAGATCTGGAAACGACCCCTGCACGTGTGCACGTGCAGCAGCACCCCAACTCTGGCACATGTATATGCAGTGCCTAGTGGGTGCCTACCTACATGCCAACTTTCAGCGCAATCGGCCAAGTAGTTACCGAGATATTGCAACAATTACAAAAGTGACACCTCTTCGTTTTGCACGTGGCACGTGCATAAGGGGTCACCCACATGCATCGGGAATAGTCCAATACTTGGTAGAAGGAATGAAGCTACCCTACAAAAATTACCGCGTGTAAATCGGTCAAGTGGTTGCTGAGATATAAGCCTCGCAAAAGCGTGACCACGGCCGGCCGGCCGGCCGGCCGCTCATACTCAGAAATTTCCGTTAATCTAAGGAAAGACTCCGCTCGCTTCGCTCGCTCCGTAAAGACTACGCTCGCTTCGCTCGCTCCGTAATAATGGCAAATACGAGCAATAGCGTGGATAAGAAACTACTTTAGATGACCTCGTGAATTAATGTCTCATGAAAAGGTTAATCTTACTTCATGGTACAGTGTAACTTTAACTCGCTCCCGTCCCCACTCGGCGACACTCACCCTGTCCTCGAGGCGCGCCTTCTTGGAGCTCGGCTGGTCGGAGGCGGACGGCTTCCTACCGGGCTTCTTCGGTCCGCCCGGCAACGGCGACGATTGGGACTTGGAGCGTTTGACCTTGGCCTTGCCCTCGGCACCGACGGCGGCCGGGTCGGCGGCGCGCTTCCCTGAGGGAGCAAGGCAGTGCGTCAGCGCTCGTGGTGTCTGGAGTTATCGCAACAAAAGCTGTATGTTGTGTCTCACCATGTTATCACACCCAAAGGCCGCGCTCCTCATTGCCAAAACTTTTGCGCGAACATGTGCAAAAACGCATGATTGTATGTAAAGAAAGTCATAAGACACTTACAATCTAAAACTCTATTTTGGTACGACAAAGGTTACTGAGCTAAGCGCATGCGTAAGGTTATGTCCAGCAACACAAAGTAGGTACTGAATGGCCGACTACGGCGTTGGCTGCGGATTCCAGTCGGTACTTACCCTGTGATTCGTTGGTGACCACCGGGTGGTTCTCCTTGTCGCTGGAGTGCTTCCCCATGGTGAACGGCTCCGATGCTGCGGGGAGCGGGGTAAGGATGAGTCAGCTCGATGGAGACCGGTGGATGGGCAAACAGCCAAAAATACCGTGTCGTGCCCTGTCACAAACATTATATCGGCCTGTCACAAGCACCGTGTCAGCCATCCACAACAGCTTCCCACACAAACACCGTCGGCTTGTCGTAAAAAAAAAACATGTCGCCTAGCACAGCAACTCCCTGCATAGTGCTTAATCACCGTGTCGGTCTGCCACTAATACTGTCCGGCTTGACACTCCAGCTCCCAGCATGAACACCCTGTCGGTCTCTCACAAACACCGTATCTTAGAGCACAGCAGCTCCCCGAAGAGTCCAGCCCAGCGCAGGGCCCGTCCCGTCTGCCTACCTTCCTGGATGATGAAGCCGTCGATAACATGGGTCAGCACGTGGGGCTTCACCATGGCCTTGGGCAGGGGCGCCTTCTCCTTGGTCTCGGCTGTGCTCTGGGTGCCACCTGTCGATGAAAACCAGATTGGAGCAGGGGCGTTAGTCGGGCAGCCGTCGCACAGACAAGCAGGATTACAGAAAATAGACAGACAGAGACGGTAGACGGTATATTTTATATATGTAATGCATGCCTGGACAGACGGATCCCAAAGTCTAGCACTCGGCCATCCTCCCCACGACCTCACCTTTCCTCTCGGCGGCGGGCGGCGGCCGTTCCTTTTTGGCGGCGTTATCGGCTGCGGGGGCGTTGCTGTGGGGAGTCGGTGCCGTGGTCGTCGCCGGGACGGTTGCCGCGACGGTGGCGGTGGCGGTGACGGTAGCCGTGGCGGCGGCGCTGGCCGCAGTGGTGGTGGCAGTGGTGACACTGGTGGACGCGGGGGTGTCCGACGCGCTGCTGGCGGGGGCGGTGGGCGCGGGCGCGGGCGGCGCCGGGCCCGCGGGGGCCGCTGTGGGCCGGGCGGCTGTCGGAGCCACGGTGGAGACGGGCACGGCGGCCGGGACCGGCGCCGGCCCGGAGGTGGTGGCCGGCTGACCGGCCGCTGCCGCCTCCGGCAGCCGACCCGGAGCCGGGGCCGGAGCCGGAGCCGGGGCCGGAGCCGGAGCCGGAGCCGGCTGAGCGCCGCCCGCCACCTTCGGACTCTTGGGCTTGGCCGGCGAGCGCGGTTTGTGCTGCTGCGGCGGCGCCACGGGCCGCACCTGAGCGGCTCCCGGCACGGCGGCCGTCTGCTCGCCGGTGGCCAGCGGCGGCGGCCGGGCAGCACCAGCGGCCGCCATCGCTCCGGGCGCGCGCGGCTGCATCAGCATCTGGCCGCGGCCGGCCGCCTTGACGCGCGCCTTGTGCTGCGGCCGCGCGGCGGCCAGTCCTCCGGGCACCGTCTGCACGCCGCCGCCGGCCACGGGCCGCAGCTGCGCCGACTGCACGTTCGGCAGGATCAGCGGACGCTGTCCGGCCAGGCGCGGCTGGATGGTAGGCGGCTCCGCATAGCGCGGCTTGGCGGCCGCCACCGCCGCCGCCGCCGCGTGCTGCTGCTGCTGCTGCTGCGTGGCCTGCTGTTGCTGTTGCTGCTGTTGTTGCTGTTGCTGCTGCTGCGCCGGCGGCAGCTGAGCGGGTACCGTCTGAGGCATGGTTGTCATGGTTGTCGCCGTGGCCATGGCACCAGAGAACCGCAGCTGGTTCGGGTCAGCCGTCACCTGTCGAAGGTCAGAAGACGGCGTCACTTCCGGCTCCGGCACAACAGCGCGGCGGCAATAGTTAACAGGCAACGTTACAGAAAAGAAGGTAGCTGAGGTGCAGCTCATATGTCAGAAATTCCGAAATATTGTCCGTGTCAGAGCAGCAAAGAAAAAGCGGTGAAAGCAGCCATAGCAATGCAATCGATTGGTAACCGTCAAAATCTTCCACCAAGAGCCAGAGGAAAAAAACAATAGTTGCAAGGCAGGGTGCGGGGCAAAGAGGTAAACCAGTTAGTCTCGATGGTTGAGGCCAGTGACGGAGCTGGATGCCAGGAGGGGCCATTGGCCGAGCTAGCTGGATCCGTGTCCAGGCCCGAGGGGAGCAGGGGTTTCCTGACCGGGTCGGATAGGTCACTGATTCGATTCAAAGGGTCACTAACGGGCCGGAGGAGGGCTGGACACTGGACAGGTGGTCACTGCCCAGACTGGAGGGGTCACTGGAATCGGGTGGAGGACAGCGGGGGGTCAGACCCGACTCGAACGTTCACTGACCGGGCCGGATGGGTGACTGACCGGGGGGCCGCAGGGTTCACTGACCAGAGGGGCCGGAATGGTCCCTGACCGAACCAGAGAGGTCACTGACCGAGTCCGAGGGGGTCACTGACCGGGGGGTCAGAATGGTCACTGACCGGGCCCGAGGAGGAGGCGGCGGACGTCGGAGGACCGCCGAACAGAGCCAGCATGTCGGGCGATGTGGCGGGCACGCCGAACAGGGCCAGCAGGTCAGCCGCCGGCCGCGGGCCGTCCGACGACTGTGGCGCACACCGGGACGGGGCCGTTCAGCTACCCGAGCCGCCCCCATACCGAGCCGGGCTCCGCGGCATGCACTACACACTAACCGGGCACCGGCGCCAGCGACGGGCCACAGCCAACACAGAGCTCCGCTGCTAATATTGCACAGCAGCTACTGATTATCTACAGAAACAAAAGAGTTAACTGAAAAGTGACAACAAGCGGCAACTCATTCAGCACCAAAACAAGTAAAGAAAGACTAGATTTTAACAGAGAATAAGCATGTCAACAAGCGGGCACATTCTGCACATTCTAATGGGGAGTGGTGTGCTTCGGATACATTACGGAACCTGTTCAGATTTCTCTTTTCATTGTTATTCCGCTTTCAGCGTGTTTAGATTTGTCTCCAAGATCGGCATTCAAGGTATCAAGCAGCCGGATACTTGTTAGATGTCAGTCTGGAGAAAACTCCTTTTTCCAACGTAATGTTTTAGTTATTGAATGTGGGTCAACAGCCAAAATAAGAACGATGGTTATTTGACCGGTGTGATTACAAAAAAATGGCATGCAGTGTAACCGAACAAAAAAAAAATATTAATAAAAAAGAAACAATTGAACAACGGGAAACGTCAAAAACTACTAGCATCAAAGAGAGATAGGAAAGAGAGAGGGAGGGAGGGAAGGAGAGAGGTAAAGAGCACATACTCAGCCCGGCAATGGTCGATCGTGTGAGTGGGGACCGGGCACAGCGTGTCATCAGTGTTGGTCCTGCAGCCCGAGCCCGGTTCAAGTCCGAGTCAAAGTCTGCCTCCAAGTCTGACTCCGAGCCCGAGTCTGCCGTCCTCACCTGCTGCTGCTGGACGGCCTGCTGCGCCGGCGGGCTCTGGATGAACATGCCGCCCTCCTGCGGCGACTGGCCGGCGCCAGAGCTCTGAGCCACCGACGGACGGATGTAGATCTGGTTGGGGAACAGCGTCTGTGGCATCTGGCCAAACTGCTGCATCTGACCGAACGCCTGCGGGCACAGAGAGCACAGCCGAGTGACGACCACCGCCAAAACGAACCGGACCGATAGTCTGGACACTCCAACCTTCGAGCTACACAACTAAGTACATAAAGGGTTTGACAGGGCACAGATTCATCCCTAGACTTTTGAAGAAACACAAATTACCACAGAAATGAGATAAATAATCCGAATGCTCGTAGAAAGCTTGGTGAAAAACCTAACTAGAAGAAGCAATTTCAGACACAATGTGAGGCGCCTCTCCGCGTCCGTCGGCGCCCTGCCGCGCCCTGCCGCCGCGCCCGCCTGACCTGCAGCTGGTTGAAGATGGGCGACGAGTTGGCGATCATGGGCATGTGGTGGCTGCCGGCCTGCGAGGTCACCACCTGGTGCTGCTGGTGCACGCCCGTGCCGCCGGCCGCCGCCGATACCAGCTGCTTGGGGCCCGGCGAGCCGGCAGCGTGCAGCGGCACCCGGCCGCCCAGCGCCACCTGGTGCGCATGCGCAGACAGACATTCAGGGCGTGGCTGACACAGACGGGTCACGGGACGACACTACACGGGACGACACGACACAACGAGCAGTCTGCAGCGGGCAAATGCAGACTGTGAGTGGGACAACAATCAGCCAGTCAGGCACGTATGGGTGGGAGCTTTAATCGGCACATCAATGCGAAACGGCGATGCAAAAACACCGAGATATGAGTGACTATAGGTCGAGTTACCGCTCCTTCGGTGGCCCAGGCATCTATGCAAAGCGCCAACGCTACAACGTTACTTCCAGTGCTACCTCAATTGCTCTCAGAAAAAAAAAAACGTTAGGGTGTCTACCACGTAAGTCGTTCAGTTCAACCAAGCGCACTGTCGGCAAAGCGCTCGCAATATTCGCATGCTGATATGAAGGCAAATGCATGCAACACTTCAAACGGACACGTAATAACTAAAGTAAAGACATTGACAATCGAAGGCCCAAAAATAACTGGGCAGGTTGACCTTTTGATGTTTCTGAATATCCTATCCATCACGGAAATGCCCCTACCCCACCCATGGGCCGGGATAGCGCCACAGTGGATACGAGCAGGCACATGCAGACACAGCACAGTGGCAGTGACCGCCGGCGGGCGCCGCTTCTACCTTGCTCAGGTCGTTGGTGGGTTTCGTGTTGCTCGGCAGGATGTTGGCCTGCGACGAGAGCATGACCAGGGTGCCGCCGTTCGACGTCGGAATCGTGGTGTAGCCGGCCGTCGGAAACCCGCCTGATGGCAAACAGAGGTCAGCTCAGGTCAGAGGTCACACATGGGAGGCTCGGCACACGGGAGGGTCACACCTGCGCGCTGCAGCTTTCTGCATCGTGTTTTTATCATCGCTCCCCTTGCAGAGTCCGTATTCGTATTCGCCTCTCATGCGTCCATAGAAAGCGGGAAGCATTGAAAGCAAGACTAGACTTGAAGCTCGCGTTTTTTAAAGGGCAGCAGAAGATGGACACAGGAGTAAGAGAACTGTCCCGACGCACCGCCCCACCCCCTCTCAAGGCCGCTTTATCAGTTCTCACCTGCCGAAGTGAGCATGTGCGGAATCTGAGACTGCGTCAGCGGCTTCCCAGCGGCAATCACCTGCAAACGTCGACAGAGGTCAGACGATTCGACAGTACACGGGCCAGGGTCACCTTGGTATTAGGTCATGTACGTCGGGTGAGGACATTAAAATTGGCTTAACCAGCAACCTATGTTATGGTGAATCTCCAGCCTAGCGGTAAACTAACATATGACAATAAAACGACACACGAAGCAAACGCACGTGTCAAATCATCTTTCAAACGTATCGATCACTATGGATTCTGATGTCATTCCTGATAAGGTACAACCATTTTCAAACTGCCAATGAGTCAGACAGCACCACCACTGTATAAGCCGTAACGCACCAGCACACGTTTCAGTCACACCACCAGTCACCGGTCACGGCAGGTCAGGTCAGGTCAGGTCAGGTCACCACACCACCCCACCGCACCGTCGCGCCGGAGCCGCTCAAACCAAACCAGCCGCGCGCGCGCGCGCCGGTCGCTCCGACAGCCGCCAGCTGGCCGGAACCGGCGCCCGGCAATCGCTGGCACAATGCCAGGAGGCCATGAGCGGCGGCCGCCCGGTGCCACGTCACGAGCGCTCAAAATGGTATAGCGCAGCGTGACAGCGCGTCACCGGGAGCGCTCTCCGGTCCGCCGCCTGTCAGAGGCGACCACACGAGGTGAGAGAGCTTGAGATAAGGAGCGGGACAGTCCCCAGAGGGGCAAAGGGAAAATGGGAAAGCCACATCAGCTGTTAGCTCCCCTTCACGCGATTCAAGGTCGGTCAAACTTGCAGCCGGCCCATCCCCCGCAATATCTCGTGAGAGGTGCTCGGAAGCCTCACAAGTCACAACGCTCTAAACGTGGCGAAATCTTATTGAGCCAGCTCTGCTGACATCCACATTCCACACAAGGGAAAGCTCCGTAAAGCATTCCGTCCTATACACTACACTAAAATTTGTCCAAACACAACCGGTTCAAATTCTAGTTTCTACAGAGGCAACAAGAGAGCGTTACTAGGATAGCCTGCCACAAAAAGACTAATAGGGTCAAATGTATCAGAGGTGAGAGATGAATAGTTAACCTGCACATTGCAACGTTTACCTACCCTGTACCCACGCTGTCGAATTACAGTTCGCAGGGAGCCATAGCGATCCTTACCAAACACTAGATTTTAAAAGCCGTCCCGTCATTGAGGTGCCAAGAAAGTACGGCTAGGTCTTTCAGGGCGCTGATATTGGAAATTACCGAAGATTCATAAAGAAAGGTGGTTTAAAAGCTGACCTTACGTATAATAAGGTTCTTTCGCTTTCGGACTCGATGGGACCTCGGACGTCGGTCCCATTACCGGCAGTCTTTTTACAAATTAAGCATTGACTGTCTTATATCCGCTTTCATTAATAATCGCTATAAACCGAGACGAATCACAAACTCTAACAATACCAACTGATTATTGTTTTCACTCTCGTAAGAACCAAATAATGCAACTTTGGCACAGAATACTCTACCGAACCCGCCCCGAATCTCGCTGCTAGGTGGCAGCCTACCCAGGCTCTTTGAGATTATAGATGTCGCCACCATCGTACCTGGATGGGTCCGCCGAGACCCTGCTGGTGCATGACGTTGCCCATGAGCACCTGGCCCTGGTGCTGGTACAGCTGCTGCAGGTAGGCCGGGTTGATGGGTGGCTGAATCACCTGCACCTGAGAACAGAGCAGGGAGCGGTGTCAGAACCCGGCGAGGTGACCACCTCCCGTTCCTCACACAAAACCATCAGGCGAGTGGCGCTCCAGCGGGTCAATGATAGGAACAGGCTGCAACCGTCCAAATTGGCGACCGTATGGTCCATTTCTTCCATGCACTGGCATAAACAAAGTTGCGTTGTTAGAAATCGGCCCATTAACCCCATACCTCCGGCGGCCGCGCGCCAGTGGGGTCCCGGTTCCCGATTATAGGCCGATCTTTTACCAAAACGAAGATAATTTAGAAAACCATGAAAATATTATGCAATGCTTGGAATCTAGCAATGGCCAAAGCGACAGAGAGGCCTTTTAGCATGCCACGAGCTATTGGGTGTTATTCACATACAATACGTACATTGACACACCACACCCCAAGTTTCATCTTTGGCACGAGATGCGCCATTTTTCAAGCCGCTCATTACATGTTACAATCTTAGCCGTGACATTCATATAATTGTGCAATAATTTGAGAAAGCGCAACACAAGTCCTATGACGTTCCTAAAGATAAACGCCTATTTTGAACTGATAACAGTGCAATGTGCATGAGAACACCATATGTTTGAAATATGCAACACGACCCATCGGGTGGAACAATAACGTGACCGTAGATGTAGTCCGAATGTGACCTGGCAGGGTCTATAAAAGGTCTCAACGATAAACATATTATGATAGTGCTTAAGCCATATTCATGGCTTAGTTTGTAAGTTTCTAAGTTTCTATGTTTATAAGTTGTTGAGGAAGCTCACATCTTCCAGTTTCCATTTTATAGAATCATACCTACCTACCTATTTATTTTTAATGAAATATCTAAGATATTCTTTTCAAATTATGAGTTAGCTAATAGCCACCATTCAGTCAGTCTTCTTCTAACCTCGCAATCTTAACTTACACGTATATCCATTATCCAATACCTAATCGCATTATGAAATCTAATAGCACATTCACCATTCACCAAGACAAAATAATAACGCCGCATTAAAAAAATCCCATTTTAACAATGATTCTTCTCACGTCATTTTAAATGTTACATGCGAATTTGATATTGATTCAGCCGAGCGGAAGAGACGAACAGGCCAGCACGTGGCACGTCACAGGGCCGCGCCGGCCGCCTAGTTACCCTGTCTGAATACAAATGACATTGCCCTTACCGCCATATCTGGCCAACAGATCGCAGAGCTCAGCTCAAACGGTGTTCAAATGTAGACCGGAGGAAGACGCACCTTCTCTGATAAGCACGGATTTCATTCATATATGAATAAACTCGCTTCCTTTAGGCACCGATTAGGCATGACAACTGGGTGTTTGGCACAGATAGGTATTTAGGATTTGGAGAAATCGCATTTTTATGTTTACGTCTATCCTTCCTTCGAATGAGAGCATTTAATCGAGGGATATGCACGCAAATATAAGACGAATCATTAGATCAGTTTTACAACAATAATAAATATTTGTAGAAATGCTTCTATATTTTTTATAATATATCTAATATTTGTCACTATACTCGTACACTCAATATTTGCAATAATATTTGTAGAACATTTAAACTTTTAGAAACGAATACACAACGATCGATCGACTCCGAGATGTGGCTTAGGATAACAATAAATATATTAGTTTAAAATCAGTAGAAGCAAACGTGAATTTAGATCAATCAAAAGCCTTAAATAATAGGTACCTCATACTTGATCAACGATGCCTACCTTTTTGCAAATGCAGCCACACTTTTATTTGTATTGCAACGAGGGTAGAAGATGATCAATTCACTATAAGTTATTCTATCTAAGTTATCCTAAAGTTATTCAGGGAAGACTCAACTGGACAGAACCGGGCCATTATTCCTACCTACGCTTACCTCGAAAACTCGTACAAAAAAGGGGTTTAAGCATAAAGGTTCGCACGGCTAGATCGCCAGCATTTTCTAGTAAACGATTGTTACATTCTTGGCTATTTTTACAATTATTTATTTGAAAGTTATTTTTCCAGTTTCAATGCTAGAAAAGGTGAGTTAAATATGGGGTGAACTGGGACACATTCAGGAGATCGGGCCAAATGTGGGGAGAACCAAGATTCTGGGGAGGATTTTGGGCCTGCTAAAGAAGTATTTCAATAGAAAAAACACAATTCTAACGAATAGTGTTTGTCTATTTCAAACCAACGGTTACGACAAAAATGCGTATTAAAAAATGGCGAATGGCGACCAAACAGGAAGTAAAGATTGGCACCAAAAATCACTTCAATTGCCTTTTTCCGCACTCAAGTGGGTCTGTTGTCTGAGTTCAGTTCGCTGAATAAACGGTAAATTGAATTAACTAGAGTAAAACGCTTAAAAATGACCCTAGATCGATGTCTGTGCAACAAGCGACTAAAAAAAGGAAAGCGCTTGCTGTGAAGTGTCCCGACTAATTTCAGGAGAAAGTGTGCAAAATCGGGATCTATTTTTTATCAGTCGCCCAGAAGCTCCAGATGTCCCACTTCAGCGTTCAGTTCTCCAGGCCCAACTCTCATCTTCCCACGTGGAAGAAGGTATGCAAAACGTGAAACTGCCGAATTATATCGACAATGGTGAATGATACCTACATTGCTAATAATGGTTGGGTATCAAGCGACTTCGTACGGGGTAAAACACAAAATTTTGGGCGTTGGCAGGAATGCAACAGATCCCAGTTGAAGAACCGACGGGCGACGACACCGAACTGGATAATTGGCTTGATGGCTGACTGTCTGAAACCTACCTATGTATTCGAGCATGACCCTGTTCACTGGCACGCTAATAGCGGCTGCTAGCAGCTAAAAGAAACCATGGAGGCTTCCACGGAATTAGCAACAACAGGCACGCTCTAATATTGGCCGACGTCATCCAAAAGCAGCAGGGAACTTGGTGGTAGAAGCACAAGCGAGTGATATTGACGTGATGCGTCACTTATGAATGTAACTTCACGTCTGTTGAACTGACGAACGATGCATTCGACATACCTACACCTACACAGGTAGGCATACTATACACAAAAACAAAGTGACGCCCGTGCATGACATCATGCACACGAGGACATCATAAGTGACGTCAGCACACGAAGCGCGCTAGTTGCGGGCCGCAGTGTGCCGTGAGGTAGCGCATTAATCATGACCATCATGAGTTGTCGCCGTACAATCCGGAATCATACTGCCGCGGACATCTCCCATGAGCCGTCAGATAGTGCGTCATGGAAGTCGATCGGCCGGCGCGGAGGCGGAGCCAGCCGCCGCGATGGACGCGAGGCAGCCCACCCATTCTGCGGCACCTGGCCGGCGCGTGCAGTAGCTGTCGGCGGCGCCGGCCATGGCCGGCCGGCCGGCCGGTCGGCGTCCATCGCCCGGCGCCGCGCCGCGCCGCTCCCCTCCATGGCGGACGCGCCCGATGGCGGACGGCGGAGAGAGCGGCGGGGACGGAGAGAGAGCGCCGGAGCCGCCATCGTCCGCGCAGGCGCCGTCACCGGCGGACCCGCCGCCGCAGTACTGTGTCGGCGCCGCTCATTGGCCGGGGCCTCCGGCGGGCCGGCCAACCAGGGCGGCGGGCCGCCGGCCGGCCGGGCCCGGGCACGGCGCACCCGGTGTACGGCGGCGCGGCGGGCGTCCGCCGCGGTGGGGAGGGGTGCGGGCGATGAATGGCCGGCCGCGCCGGGACGGTTATCGACCGCCGCCGATCTGCCTACCACCTGGCCGGCAGGGGAGGGAGGCGGCGGCACAGCGCCAGCCGCGTGGCCACCGGAGCCCATGGCGCCCCTATGGCGCCTGTTTGCTGAGGGGTCAGGTGGAGACGTCAATACAGACGCCGTGCCGCTCCCTCGGCAAATTGAGGGTCTGTGCATCGCCATCAGTCGGGCGTAAAACAATGGCAAAAGGACATGCACACCGCCTGTGCACCAACCCTTCTGCTATGTGCGAGGGGTGAGCATAATATGGTGCCGAAGTCGGTTAGCTCTCCTCAGCTTCTAACAGGGAAGCAGTAGACACTCCGAACCGCGAAATGTTCTCCAGAGAACGATAACTCACGGGAACCAGTGGAATCTCCGGACCTCACGCGACCCCAGCAGACTCTTCCAAAGCACGCGGGGAGGCAGCCAGCTCTCCCATAGCACACGGGGAGGCCATCGGCTCTCCCATATGCTCACGGGGAGGAGGCCATCGGCTCTCCCATAGCTCACGGAGAGGCCATCGGCTCTCCCATAGCTCACGGGGAGGCAGTCGGCTCTACCAGAGCTCGCGGGAGGCGGAAGCCGGCCCTCCCATAGCTCACATAGAGGCAGCCGGCTTTCCCATAGCTCCAGGGAGGTATTCGGTTCTCCCAAAGCTCTAAAAAGGTAGCTGGCTCTCCCATGGCTCACAGGATAGGATAAGAGCTCATAGCTAGCTCACAGTGAGGCAAACAGCCCTGCCATAGCCCGCGGGGAGACAGTCAACTACTCTCTTATAGTTCACAGAGAGGCAGTCTGCAATTCAACTCTCCTTTTCCTCACGGGGAAGCTCGCGTGCTTCTCATGCTCCACGCGGGGAAGCAGAAGCCATTCCTAAGCCGGCACTTTCCGGTTTCGCTGGTGTTCATTTTTACACTTCCACTCGAGAAGTTGGTGTATTTGCTTTGGGTTTTTCGGGCCCAGTATGATATTTCTTGCGGTGAAAATGTCACAAGAAAAGGTGGTGTGTGTGTTTTGGGTTTTTCTAGCCCAGCATGTCTTGCGGTGAAAATATATTTTCCATCTTCCTTTTCCTTTTCCCATTGTTCAAGAATAGAAAAATTAGCGCTCTTTAAAAGCTTGGTGTTAATTGGGTACACAAAGACTTGCAGTGATCATGCTGGAAACTCACTGTGACGGCATTGACGACGCCATCGCTAATTTCACCTCTATCTATTCTATGCAGAAGCTAGGCCATTGGCTGCCAGGTAGCATATGTGAGTACTGAGTATACACACCAGATTAGGACA